TTGTATCTCTTTTTGCAAATATGCAGAGTGTCAAAACATCCGAAGTCAGTCTGCAAGGGCGGATTGCAGCCTTCAAAATCCAATGCCTCACATCACCCCATTCCCAGATGCTTGTCCCCGTCATAGAGATGGGGCGCACTGACTAACAGACAGCAAAAAGCCAAAGGTTAGCAACAGAATTCTTCTGCAGCAGCATAGAAAAGAGATAGGTCCAGAATAAATGCAGAGGCTGAAGAGACCAGGAGCTGCTTCAGCTAAGGCAAAAAAGTACATTTAAAAAAGTGTTTAATAGGTTTTAGAGGGGTGCATAAATCCTGAAATATATATATATGTGTGTGTGTGTGTATATATATAATTTAAAAATGAATTATTACCATTACACTATAAAACAAAAAAAATCAGCAATTCCAGTCGATCAATCATCAATTATTTTCTACCCAAGACTGGGATTCAATCTCACAAAATGCATTTTTTAGAAAATGGCATGTAGCTCAAATAATCCATTTTACACATAAGCTAGTTGGCCTTCAATGCAAACAACCCCCCCCCCCCACACACACACACACACTGGCTAAGCAGTGATGGGAATTGCAGTCAAACACAATCCCCAGCCCTGATGTTAACCCACCAGTTTTGTTTTGTTTTTTTTTTTTGTCGTGTCAGGAGCATCCTGTTGTGAGAGAATTGGCTGTCTGCCGGGACGCCGGATGATTTTTGATGTTTTATCATCCTTGTGGGAGGCTTCTCTCATGTCCCCGCATGAGGAGCTGGAGCTGATAGAGGGAGCTCATCTGCCTCTCCCCGGATTTGAACCTGCAACCTGTCGGTCTTCAGTCCTGCCAGCACAGGGCTTTAACCCACTGTGCCACCGGGGGCTCCCGTGACTACTCAATATTATTCATGGAACTGTCAGCCTTGACTATCTTCAACATTTCGGTCACCCAACCTCTCCAAATACCAGCCCAGCCTTGTCCATGATCCAAAAGGAATTGAAGATTATGCCATGCACCAGAGCAACAGTACATGAAAGCTCATGCTAGAAGAATTTGCTCATTCCTGAAACTGATCTTGGAATGGTAAGTCTTGAAACAAACCTATTTTGTCTCAAACAAAGAAATAGTATATTCAATACAGAGAAATAGTATATTCAGGGGTAACCGTGAGGGCCATAAAATGAAATCCACAAAGGAGCAATACCTTTATTGCCCTATCAAAACACAATGAACAAATCCCACAAAATTATGAAGATCCACAGGTTTTGTAACAGCACAGTGAGGCTCTCTGGCCTATAGATAGCTTTGGCATTGCAGCAAATTCAGTCTTCGCAAAAGATGCCACAGGTGCAGGGAGTTACTTGCTCCCCAAATAAGGTTTCTCCTCACCACTAATTTTTCTTCCAGTCCCTAAATTTCTGGCACTGCTATAACCCAAAGCTTCAGTTGAGCTTTTAGAAAATGCAGTTTTGGCAACTGAAGAAAAGGTGCTGGCAGAGTGACCGAGGGAAAGTGAGAACAGAAAAGTTATATGTGAGATTTTCAGTGTCACAACACTAGAAATTTGAGTACTGAAGGAACATTTCACAGAAGAGATTTTTTTTTTATTTGGGGTACAATGTTTTCATTCCCTCCATGCAGCTACACCCCTCTTTGTTCTGGCCACAAAAAATGTTCACACCCAGGAACTTGGGTAAAGTTGTTTTTTGTTTTTTTTTTTGGAAGATTCCAGGAGTGATGATGCAAAATAGAATTGTTCCCAAGCCGTGATTTGCAAACAGCATTGTAGCCCAGCCTTGAGATTCCGAGGCAGGGGATGCTTTGAGAAACCACTAGATCTCTATCTTTGCTCAACTGAAGGGGCTGACAAGGGAAGCCAAACAATGAAGCAGCCAAGATGGGCTGCGAGAGCCCAGGGACAAGAGGCTTGTGCATCATCGGTGGAAAGGGACACAAAGGTAGCGCGGCTCGGAGCCTGATTGCCCTCGGCCAACCAGCTTGCGGCAGCGGCAATAGCACACCAAGGGTGGGCCAGGCAAGGCGGAGCTCCCAGTGGGCTGTTGTCTTCTCTCCTCTCGGCTACAACAAACAGGAGGCACAACCCATTGATAGGTACATACAGGGAGCCCCTCCTAAAACGGAGAGGCTCCTGGACAGCTCAAAGCAGCTCTGAAGGCTAACTAAAAGCATTGCAACTGAACAATGCACTGTCAAGTAATCATTTCATTGTTTATTTACAATTTTATGTCCAATGTTCAGTGTGTCATCCCTGCTCAGCCATGCGCCACTTGCATTGCAGAAGACCAGAGTAACAAACCTCTCTTCAAACTTTCTCTAGTCATTTTGCCACACTTAGTCGCCACTAGAAGCTTGAATGTTCAGGTTGTGTGCATTTGGAAGGTTGTGTGTATGTGTGTGTGAATTTCTTTCCAGAATTATAAGATGCTAGGGTGGAAACATGCAAGGCACGAAAGGCGAAAGACCTTGTCAAACTACATGACTCCATAGCAATGAACCAAGGCAATGACAGTGGATTCATTTTGGAGCATTATTTGCACCCCAAGGTTTTCTTTCCCATCGCTGGAAGCTTTGGTGTCCTAACACTTTTGTTTTGAAAGAAGGAATTCTACACTAGCAGCCACTGTAATGGCCATCTCTTGCCACTGTGCATGGCAGTTGGCAGCAAATCATTTTTTTTTGTTGCTTGTGGACAACAAGCTGAACATGAGCCAAGAATGTGATCCAGCAGCTAAAAAAGCCAATGGGTTTTTGGGCTGCATCAGAAGGAGTCTAGCGTCTAGACTGAGAGAAGTCATGGTGCCTCTCTGTTATGCTTTGGTTAGACGTCTTTACCTGGAATACTGTGTCCAATTCTGGGCCCCATAGTTTAAGAGATATATTGGCAAGCTGGAATGTGTCCAGAGGAGGGAGACTGAAAGGATCAAAGGTCTGGAGACCATGAATAATCCCTATGAGGAGCATCTTAAGTAGCTGGGTCTGTTTATATTGAGAAGAGAAAGTTGAGAGGAGACACGAGAGACATGTATAAATAAGCTGAATTTTAACCATGTCCTAACACCTGATGGTTCACACAGGAATTTTAGATGGATTTTAACTTAATTTAATTTTAACAGGTTACATGGACGAGGCTGTGGAGAATTCATGTAACTCTTATGGTTGGTTTTAGCTAATGGTTTTATGTTACATTGTCGATTTTAAATATGTTGTGAGCCGCTTTGGGTCCACTAGGAGAAAGGCGGTATAGAAATTCCCTAAATAAATATGTGAAAGGATGTCCTAAGGAAGAGGAAGCAGGCTTGATTTTTACTGCCCTGGAAATTAGGACTCAGTGGAGCCACGGGTTCAAATTGAAGAAAAGGAGATTCATAGAATCATAGAATCAAAGAGTTGGAAGAGACCTCATGGGCCATCCAGTCCAACCCCCTGCCAAGAAGCAGGAATATTGCATTCAAATCACCCCTGATTCCACCTGAACATGAGAAAAAAAAATCCTGATTGTAAGAAGAGCAATATGTTTTTAAACCCAGTACAATTTTAATCTGTGTATTGATTTATTGAGATATCTTTTTGAAAGAAAACCTTCAGGGAATACATTCCTGGGGGATCCCCCCAACTACTTATTTATTTACTACATTTTACCCTGTTCTATCTCAAACCCAGAGGGGAGTCAGAGTGACTTTCAAATAGGCAATATTCAATGCCGCATTAAACATACAAATACATTATGCATTAAAATCATTTAAAATGTCATAAAAACAATAGCATATAAACACATTAAATAAGTTGTTAAGCATTGCAGGTAGACTCAAAATGATAATCCAGAAGCTGCTCCAATCACATTACATTACATTCACTTCATAGCGGCATATGCTGCCCTGTACTACTCTCCAAACGCTTGGTTCCACAGCCAGATTTTAACTTGGTTTCTAAAGGACAGGAGGGAGGGAGCCCACCGGATTTCACAGAGGAGGCAGTTCTATAGCCGAGGGGCCACCATTGAGAAGGCCCTGTCTCTCGTCCCCACCAACTGCACTGAGAGCAGCCCCTCTTCCACCAGAAGATCTTAGCGTCTGGGCTAGTTTATAGCGGGGGATACGTTTTGACTGGTAAGATAGGCCAGAACCATCTTATAGGCTAAAGCCAGCACTTTGAATTGTGATCAGTAGCAGATGAGCAGCTAGTGGAGCTGGTGTAACAGGAGGGGTGTGTGCTCTCTGTACGCCACTCCTGTGTAGAATCTAGCTGCCGCCCCTTGGACTACTTGGAGCTTCCGAACAGTCTTCAAAGGCAACCCCATGTAGAGCGCATTGCAGTAGTCTATTCGAGATGTAAGAAGAGCACAGACAAACATCGCCAAGCCTGGCTTCTCAAGGTACGGTCCCATCCAACTCGATGAAACAGAGGCTGGATAACCATGTGTCAGGGGTACTTCCACTGTGCCATGGCAGAAGGGGGTTGGGTTAGGTGACCTTTGGGGGTCTCTTGCAACTTTATGAAATAGAGGCTGGATGGCCATGTGTCAGGGGGTTTGGACTAGATGACCTTTGGGGGTCCCTTCCAACTCTATGAGTTTATAATCCCCAGCTGGGGGGCCTACACCTTCAGGCAATGCATTCCTAAGGGGATCCCCCCACCTACACCAGGGGAAGCATTTGGGAGGGACACTCAAGCATGCAAGGTGTTTCGAATCTAGGGGATGCTCCCACACATACAGCCAGCATGTTTAGAAGGGGAGTGGTTTGAGGAAGACACACACTCAGGCCATGCGTTCCTGGGGGAGAGAAACACACCAAAAGAGACCATTTTGTCTTACACCGGAGAAGCGGGGGAGGGGGGGGGCTGAGGGGTCGGCGGAGAAAGAGAAAGGCAGCGCCAGCCCCCCTCTTCCCTTTCGCCTCCCAGCCCCACAGAAAGTTGCCAACTTCGGCCAGGCCTTGTCCCGCCAGGAAACAAAAGGCGGGAGTTTCTCCTCAGCAACATCCTTACCTGCCAGGATGGCTTTGCCGGGGTGGGTGAGCTTGGCTTTGCCGGCGGGGGCGGCGGCGGCCAGGCAGCGGGGCCGGGCGAAGGGGCTGCGGAAGCCCGGCGGCGGGGAGAGGGCCATGCTGAGGAGGAGGGGGGGGCAGGCCAGCCGCCCTCTCGCTCTCTCTTTCGGGGCTCTCCGAAGCGAGCTTCCGGGCTTGGGCGGCTGGGCGCTATATCTGCCGGAGCGCCACCGCGGCGGCCGCCGCCCCCTTCTGCCTTTCCCCGCCCAAAAACTGGGAGAGGGGGCGTGGCCTTCGCCGCGACGTCACCGCCTCCAAAGAGGCATGCGCGCCGGAGGGGAGGGCGGGGCGCAAAGAAGTCGCCAGGGCGCGGCTTGGGACATGGCCCCTCCCCCACCCCGCCCCCTTTGCTTGCAAACAGGGAAGCCAGGTGCGTGGACGACCCTGCCGAATGACTCTCACGGACAACCGGGATCTTGGGTTTAAGGCAGTACTTCCCAACCGTTTTTTGACCAGGGACCACTATCCAACATTAGCACCAAAAGGGCTACCAATCACTGGGGGCCCTTCCACACAGCCCTATATCCCCTATATCCTAGAATATCAAGGCAGAAAATCCCACAATATCTGCTTTGAACTAGGTTATCTGAGTCCACACTCAGACAATGAGGGATTTTCTGCCTTGATATTCTGGGATATAGGGCTGTGTGGAAGGGCCCTGGGTTGTTGTGAGTTTTCTGGGCTGTATGGCCATGTTCCAGAAGCATTCTCTCCTGACGTTTCGCCCACATTTATGGCAGGCATCCTCAGAGGTTGTGGTCTGCTGGAAACTAAGAAAATGGGGTTTACATATCAGTGGAATGTCCAGGGTAGGAGAAAAAACTCCTGTGTGTTTGAGGTAGGTGTGAATGTTGCAATTGACCACCTTGATTAGCATTTAATGGCCTAGCAATTTCAAGGCCTGGCTTCTTACTGCCTGGGGGAATCCTTTGTTGGGAGGTGATTAGCTCGTCCAGATTCTGTCTTGTCTGGAACCCCCCTGTTTTTGAGTGTTTTTCTTTATTCACTGTTATGATTTTGGAGGTTTTTTTAAATACTGGTAGCCAGATTTTGTTCATTTTCATACATGTGGCCAATTTCAACAGAAAGGATGAAACAATGAAAATGAAAAAAATCTGGCTATCAGTATTTTTTTTTAAAAAACTCCAAAATCATAACCGTAAACAGAGAACACTCAAAAAAGTGAATTCCAGACAAGAAACAATCTGGGCCAGCTAATCACCTCCCAACAAAGGATTCCCCCAGGCAGCAATTCACAATGACCCAGTAATTCTGGCCATAAAAACCTTTGACAATACAATGGTTACGAATCAGTTTTTGGTCAAATTTAGATTCGGTTTGGTTAATTGGGGTGCCGATTCAGAAAACTGCACTGGATAGACCACATCAGCTTTAGTTTCTGATACATATGCCATCCAGTAGTTGTCATCTGCTCGCCCACAGAAAACTGTATTTCATAAGCCTCGGCACTATAAGAGGGTTTCACGAGACCAGTTGCTCTCGTTGCAACGATGTAGTAACGGTGAGGCCGCAGACCATACTTTAGTTCTTGTGGACCACTGGGGGTCCACAGACCACAGGTTGGGAGCCACTGGTTTAGGGCCTTCCACACTGCCCATTATTCCCAGGATCTGATCCCAGGTTTTCTGTTTGTCCCACATTATCTGCCAGTGTGGACTCATAGAATCCAGTTGAAAGAAAAAAAACCCATATAGGGCCTGTCTGGAAGGGCCCTCATATCTTCCAGTTTAAAGCAGATAATTAAAGCTTAATCCAGACAAAACGGAAGTACTGCAGATCCGGCGCAAAATTGCTATGGAGATAAGAGTTACAGCTTGAGCTGGATGGGGTCACGCTCCTCCTGAAACCTCAGGTTCGCAGTTTGGAGGTGGCTCTGACTCTGCCTTAAATCTGGAAGCCCAAGTGGGGGTGGTGGCTAGGTCTGCCTTTGCACAATTAAAACTTGTGCACCAGCTGCCCCCGTTTCTGGAGAAATCTGACTTGGCCACGGGAGTACACGTACTGGGTACATCCTGTTTGGACTACTGCAATGTGCTCTGTGTGGGACTGCCCTTAGTGTCCAGAAACTGCAATTGGTCCAGTGTGCGGCAGCTAGACTGCTCATTGGATTGGAGATGGCTCCGGGGAGCACACCACCCCTGTTGAAACAGTTCCACTGGCTCCTGATTAGTTTCTGGGCCCAATAGAAGGTGCTGAATTTAACCTATAAAGCCCTACACAATTTCGGTTCAGGATACTTGAGACATCGTGTCCTACCATGCAAGCTGGGTGGATTATTAAGATCAAGTAACGAAACACTCCTCTCCACTCAGCTCAGGGACAACCATCACTTAAAATTGGCTAGAGATGGCACATTTGAAGGTGCGGCACCAAAAGAGCAGACCCACTCACTTGGCCTTTAAGAAAAACTTGAAAACTTTCCTGTGTGGAATAGCTTTTAACGAGTGGTGACAGAAGCCTAGGACCTGCACTTTATAATCACATTTTACCACTGTGGGTATTTTAGTCTGCTTAATTAATTTTGATAATTTTACGTCCAACATGGACTGACTTGGGATTATTTGAATGGTTTATTTATATTGTTATGTTTTAACTATAGTTGTGAACTGCCTTGAGTGAAGGGCGATATAGAAATGTCCCTGGGATATAGAGCCTGTCTGGAAGGGCCCTCAGCCCACACTGCCAGATAACTTGGGATAAACAGATAATCTGGGATCAGATCCTGGGATATAGGGGCAATGTGGAAGGAGCACCAGCCCTTTTTAGACTCACAGAATAAAGTTGGAAGAGACCCCAAGGGCCATCTACTCCAACCCCCTTTATTCTGCCAGGCAGGAACATACAATCAGATGGCCATCCAGCCTACAGTGTAGATGCCCCCTAGGCTGCTCATAGGCTGTAGAACTCCCTCCCACTAGAAGCTTTGTAGACTGGATGCAGTCTGACACTACTTTTAACTACCATGGCTCATTGCTATAGGATCCTGGGAGTTTTAGTCTTTTTTACAAGGTCTTTAGCCCTCTCCGCCCGGTGCCTCATTAAACACCTCCCAGAAATCCATAGCATTGAGCCATGGAAGTTGAAATGAGGTCAAACTGCATTCATTCAACAGTGTGGATGCCCCCTCAGTTAACTCTGCTCTCTCTCCCAGCAAGCAAAGACTTTTTAAATTTAGACCAACTTTTATTCCCAGGGTTAGGTTTCAAATGCTTTTTAAAATCTCATTTGTGTTTCTGGGTTTTCCTCACTGTGCTGGGCTATCCGCCTTTTTAAAGCCTTGGTTGCCAGATAGGGAGAAAGGGAAGGACCAGATATGAGTGGGTTGGGTCTAGATTGGAACCCCCATATTCTGTCTTGCTTTGTGTGTCAGCTCTTCTTGTAGCTTCATTCAAACACTCAGTCGATTCACGGGGAGAACAAGCAGGAGTCTCTTCCCATTAACGGTGGTGTGTCTGGTGAAAACAAATCAACCCCAACGCTGCATCAAGGGTCCAAATTCCAGCTGGAAGTGAGAGGCAGTATGTTTCAGCGGAATCGAAGGCAGGCAGTCAAACGTATGAGAGATTAATCAATAATGTGTAGAAATGCAGCGATCTTTCTGAAAAGAACATTTTAAACTTGATTTTTTTTAAAAAATCAAAGGGATAACAAAGAGGGTTGAATGCAGTACACAGGATGTGGGCATATGACCTGAAGTGGAGGTGAACTTTTGAGTCGTTCTCAATATAGAGGTTATATGTTGACTAAGATATGTCAGGTATTTTCAGAGGTTTGTCACATCACAACATAATGTCTGCATGGATGAGTTTTCTCCTATTCAAAAAGTGGACATGCCTCTTCCTAAGCTTATGTCTGAGCAGTAAGCATGACAGCTAATACATATCTAGGGCTAGTTGTATTAGTCATACACAACAATGGAAAATCCACCAGACACACACAGATGGTGCAAAAAAACTGCCATTTTTGAACCCTGTCCTCTTCACTTTGGGCAGCCCTTTGGAAATGAATATGGCACGTGGACAGAAAGCAGCTCCCTATTAAGTACTGCAAGAAGGGGAATAGCCAAAGAGCGGCACTCTTCCACATGTCAATGGCCAAAGAATGTGCTGCCACCATGCGATACATTGGAAAATGACACCTTAAATTGACGTTTTGCCATGGAAGGAACAAAGTATAGGGTTCTTTCCTTGGTATCCCAAGACTTGGCTGCTCAACACCTTTCCCAAGAATTCTGGACTTTGCCCCATGAGGCAAGAAGGGGCTGGTCTTTTGTGAATCCGCCTTCGTGAACTCAGCTTCATCTCTCCTTGCTATAAAAAAGGAGCTAAAGTCCAAACTTGCCGAAATGAGGCCCAACTTTTCCTCCTCTCCTTTTGTTTTGCCAAACCACCTTTCTGAGACTATGTTCTCTCTTTTTTGTCTGCCATCGCTGACCAACCTGACTCCCACCAGCCCCAGGATTTCACATCACACAATGGAGAATGCTTTGGTTCATGTTTATATAATGGGACTTTCCTAAGAGTCATGATTATTAGCACAAGAGTAATAGCCATAAATGATACATTGTCATGTAGTTTTAAGTACAGGAAATGTTAATAGTAGACGTCTCTTGGAGAGTGACACGGAGCAGTAGCACACTCTTTTGAGGAGATTAGGAGAGAATATACGTATGTGGTGGGCATACCATTTACAGGACAGAATCCCAACAGAGCCAGGGAAAAATCATGGCAACTATTGTCGGTTCCAAACAAAAAAGCATATTCAAATGCCTGGAGGGGCTTAGAGTAGACCGGCACAACTTGTGACCCTTCGGGTGTTTGGAACGCCAACTCCCAGAAGCCTTAGCCAGCTTATCCCATGGTCAGGAATTCTGGAGAGCTGAAGTCCAAAGACATCTGGAGGGCCACAGGTTGTGCAGGTCTGGTTTAGATCTTCAAATCACAGCCAGAGTAGCAGGAAAACCCTGTTTTGATGTCCAGACATATAAAGCAGACGTTCATACTTTTGTCTTGTCCAAATAGTTCTCAATGTGTATATGGATTGCAGATGCACACCACCTCCTCCAATGCCATAGGCTGAGCTTCATTTGAGGCTTTTTGTGTGTATTATCTCACGCTGAAGAGGGGAAAAAAGATCTGGGAAGTGTCATCTCTGAGATACGATCCCATTTATTCTCCAATAGTTTCAAGCACTACTTCAGAAGGCATAGATAATAATATATTTTTTGCAACATTCTGTAAATTGCAGCCCCCCCCCCCCCCACAGTTTTGTGTTGCCTTACTGCGCGGCTCTACAAATAAATGGAGGGAGGGTGGAAAGAGTGAGGAAAAGGGGGGGAGGGTTCTGCGAATGGCCGGAAGTACCAGGGTGTCTGATCCCTCCGTTCCACCTGTCCTCAAGGAGCTTTACCTGTGACGCTGTCAGTTTCAGAGAGGTGCCGCCTTTACCCTCCTTGAAATGTCAGGAACAAAAAGGGTGAGCCGAGGGGAACGGAGCTTGGGAAGCTGCCTCGTTTGGAGGTGAAATGTAACAGGACATAGCAATAAATAACACAGTGCCCTTGGGATGGCGCTGAGCTGAATGGGATTTGCAAAAACGAGCCGGTTGCTGGAAGTCGTCTCCTCGGACAAACGGAAGAAGAAAATAAGAAGGAAAAGGAAGCTAGGAGAGAAGGCGACTGGGTAAAACGGGGGTCGGCCACAGCATAAGCTACATATTGAAACCGTAAACTGGCGGGTGGGTGAATCCTGGCGCCGGGTACCCATAGGAGAAGTTGGCTTGCGGAGGTACTGCGGTGGGGCCTGCCGTGAGCATCAGCTGCTGGCCTGGAAGAAGGAAGGGAAGAACAGGCATGAGAGGCATACTGACACAACCATCAAGTCAGACTGGGGCTTTGCTGGCTTCGGAGGAAGGGAAGCGGTGTGACTACTTGGCCTTGGCCTTGTGGCTCTCGGTCTTGAGAGAGCTTTGGTATGTCCCAGGCTGTGTCACCTAAGCTAAGCGAGAGAAGAACAAGTCTAACTATGGATACAAGGGTGAGGCGACCACAACAGAGAGAAGTACACAGCCATTTTTACAGGAGAGCCAACATAGTTGGAAAGCTCTTTTCAACCCATGTTAGAGAATGTTTAAATAGATACTCCCTAGCCACAGTATCCTGGGATTTCAGGCAATGACTCTTTAATGGACACATTTTGAAATGGAAGATGTCCAGGATCCAAACCTGGGATCTTCCACAGCATAGGTTAGAATGTCAGGGGAGAACTGGGGAGATCCAGGTTCAAATCCCGTCTTATTCAGAAAACTTCCCTGGGGCCAGTCACTATCTTTCAGCAAAGCCTACCTCACAAGATTCCTCTTGAGGATCAACAACGGAGGAATACAACTATTCAAGCCATCTTGAGCTGCACGATGTGTTCAAGAGAGCAAAAAACAAGCCTAATTCAACAAACAGTTGAAGTTGGCAGTTCCCCAATCATGGGACAGCTAATACTTCAACTGACAGCCTCAGCCTCATCATTACAGCAGCTCCAGTTGGTGTCATAAATACTGTCCTCATTAATATAGTAGCATATGAGTAGGTGGTTTGTTGGGGAGTATTTTAGTATCACAGCAATTACAGTGTGAAAACTGGATTAAAATGCAGAAGAAACAGACAACGCAGACGTTTGGCATAGTCAGAAAGCTGGAACACACATGGCGGTTAGTTGATGGTGGGTTATCTCCTCCCCTCCCCCACCCTAGGCTTATTTATTAATTCTGCCACAGAACAGCCACAATTTGGTTAACACTACTTTAATAAAAAAATCACACATGCCTCATGCAGGGAATACTGAATTCCCACAGAAAGCCATTCCCACTAGGACACTGACCTCACCGTCATGAACTTCCTTTAAATGGAGGGACCTAGAATGCAATTGTCAATAAAGTCTACCTTTTGCCAAATGAGCCAAGAGAGATTTAATACATGTTGCTGGTGTGTTTCCACCCCAAAGTAAGGCTTATCTTTCTAGATTCTATCTTCAAAGCCTTGTCACCCATGAAAATGCCACCCTACTCCCCTTACCAGCTCCAGAGAGGATCCGAAATATTATCCTCTTGAAATACTGCACTTTTCATATCAGCAACTCATTTCAAGCATTGGAGTTTTTGACTACAAAAAGGCCAAGAGCCACCTCCAGTGTAACTCCCCATATCGGACTATGAGCGGTTTCTCTAGAGTCATCCGCTTTTGCCAGATTAGCTCATCCATGCAGTTTGCTGATAAGGTCTCTCCAAGAGCAGAAGTGTTTCTACCAACCCGAGGTCCACTCACAGATTGCAAATGATGAAGTAAGTCTATTTTGGCTATAATGTCCCTTCAACAGACCACTCTGGAAACCTCTGGCATCTGAAAACACAATGCCCTAAGCCTGCCATTCTAAACATGCTTCATGGTAAGCCCAACTAAATCCAGCGAGGCTTTACTTCAGAGTAAACAAGCTGTGGTGCGTGACTGTCTTGAGCATAGTCAGACAAAAATATGTTGCGCCAACTGGGTTTCCTTCAATCTGCACTGCAAAGATTGCCCCAGTAACAGAAACTGTTAGATCCAGTGGAAGACTCTCACAGGTGTCCATTTCAGCACATGGAAATGGAGGGTGGGGGGTTAGAAGAGGAGGGACTAATGCTGAAGTGGATAAGGATCACCTCTCCCCATCGGTCAACAGCCTGCCAAAACTTGATAACAGATTTTTCACCTACCAAATACTATTGGAGTGGGTTCCGTGACCTCTTGTTCTTCTTTCCTTAGGCTTTCAGAAGCATCAAGTTTATCCACCTAAAGTTATAAAGTAAACAGAAAATGTGAGGCAAGAGCTTCCTAGAGGGTTCAGATCCCTTCCACCAATTTATCCTTTCTTTAATTCAGGCCTCTGCTGCCCTCCAGGTGTTTTGGACTTCAGCTCCCAGAATTCCTGGCCATTGAACAAACTGACCAAGGCTTCTGGGAGTTGGAGGCCGAAACAGCTGGAGGGCTGCAGATTGAAGAGGCCTGCTTAAACGGGGGGGGGGGGGGGGGGGGGCAGTGAATCTGGGTTAGCCTCCAATTGAGCTGGATAAGGGAAATAGTCAAGCAACTACTACATAAGTGGTGACCACAGTACTGCAAGCAAGAATGAGGAGGTACAGCTTGCAAGAAATGCACTGCCTCACTTGACTGTCAGGATGCTCCAACCCATGGACTTTGCAAAGCCAATTCACACCTTCCAGGGCCCTCAAGGATAAGCCAAACAGATTGCTGATGTTAGTGGTTCCTATTCTACAAACAATACAGATGAAGATGTGAAATCACTGCCATTAAGGGGAACATAACCCTTCTTTTCATGTCCAGTGCCGATGTGACAAGGAGAAAGCATTGTTTTGCCCTCAGCAGGGTCCCAATGCATGCTCAGAAGTCAGTATCTTCAACCTGTAGCCCTCCATGTGTTTTGGATTTCAGTTCCCAGAATTCCTGACCATTGAACAAGCTGTCTATAGCTTCTGGGAGTTGGAGTCTCAAACACCTGTAGGGCCAGAGGCTGTGGAGGCCTGATCTATGGGCTTTACCCCCCCTTTCCCTTAACAGCCACTGTACTTTGGGGTTTTGAAGGGGCTCTGGGTGCAATTTATCCTCTGTGTGGACCACTGCATCAGGAAGCCCTCCCCTTACCCTCTCCTGCCAAAGACAGCATCCTCCACCCCCATCCCATGTGCATCCTTTTCAAGTCTCTTCAACAGGCCTGCACAACCTAGCAGCTTTCCAAGTGTTTTGGACTTCAGCTCACAGAATTCCTGGCCACTAGACAAGCTGGCTAGGGCTTCTGGGAGTTGGAGGCACAAACACTTGGAGGGTCACAAGTTGGGAAGGCCTATTCTAAATGCTCTTTTGTGTATTGTTGAGCATCGGCTTGGAATAGCTGCAGTCCAGAAAGGAACCTTTTCAAGTTTTATTGGGCATGTATTATAGGGGAGTGCATGGGGATTTTGATTTTCTTCAGTAGGTTGCTCTGAAACTTGTGTGCTATTCCCTACATATACATCTCCAATCATCTGCAGGAGTAGATTAAGTCTCCCAAAGATTCTGCTCCTAACTACAAAGGAGCTGAGTTTAGGGAGGGTGAGAACAAAACCTGATGAATTTGTCCAACACAAAAAGGAAAAAAGATGCTACTCGATATGAAAAAACTCCCTCTAAAAGGAATACAAGAAAGGTCAGTTAATATGTAAGCTGTCTTGTTGGTACAACTGCCTCTCCTTCATGTGCCGCCTCAGTTGCAGCAGCGTGTCTTAATGCTAGGAGTATTCACTGGAGGATTGTGGTAGAGAATATTCTCCTTAGTGACCCATGACTACCCAAACTGTGCCATACATCACTACCTGGAGAAGCTGGACTCAAGAGATAGTGAAGTATACAGAGCTTTACTTCTAATAAAGACTACGTTTTCAGGACCTGAAAAGAGCATTCTGCTAAGGAACACAGTTTCTGATCTATGTTGTGTCCTCAAATAGTTGCCACTCCCATGGCTGAGGGCACGGAGTTCCTTCGCCGAAATCATGTCTTACCCAGGGACCGTCTTTATCATTTGTAAAGTAGAGGTTCCTTCTTTAAGGAAAGGACAGGGCTGAAATGGAAGCAACAGCTTCCCTTCCAGTGTGTAGACATTGGAAAGACTTCCAGTTCTCACAGTGCCATGTCTTGAGAGAGGACCCCGCTCAGTTGCTGCCTACTTCTTGCCTACACAGCTCTTGGGAAGTACAGGAATGATGATATGCTAGACTGACAATTGCTACACTCTCCCTGCCTGGCCTCAAAACATTTGGCAACCTATAAGCAAGCAAAGAATTGCACATCCTTTAAAAGAAAGAAGAAGACACATCCTAACAGAAGAGGTGCCGTATCTACTGGAATGTGAGGCCTATCAGCTGAGATGTCCAATCACAGGGGTCGTTTTTTTGAGAGTCTCATCCACAAAATAAACTTTTCTATCAGGACAGCCCTCTTTTCTGTTTGTTTGTCAAAGGTGCTAGAGTTTTGTAAAAAGGAGGCATGTCTTCGGTAGGACACATGTCTAGGTGTTAGGGACACGCTCACATGAAGGGGATTAAACACTAACAACGAAGTGGGGATTCGTTCTCTAGTCATGATACTAGATTAGTTCTTGCTTCCAAAACAAGAGTCATCATGCATGCTCTTTCCGAGACAGAAGATTTAGTAAAACACTCATCACTTGCAAAATCCAACCAGAGTTTTGCTTGAAGAGGAGCACAGTATCACTCATTAGCTCTAACCTTTTCTCTGCCCCCATTAGATTGTAGACTTTAAAAAGGATTAGAGCTGTTCGTCTCAAGAATTTCATAGTTATTTCCTCTTTCTCCAATACAGACCAGCTTTTTAGGGCCTTATCTCTTTTTTGAAGAGGCCAAGCGTTTGGACTGTAACTCTGCCCAGGCAAGGTAATACTTTTGCAGCATTCACTACTAACTGGGTGCATTGTATTGTCAGATTGCCATCTTAAGAGTGAGAATTTAGCTCTGGGACCTGGAATACAGACAAAGGAAGGCAAGGTCTGGCTGGATTTTTTTCTCAGTTATTTGAGACGATATAATCACTACATCATTAGTCAGACCAAAGCTAGATTATTCTGCGTTTCAGCAAAAGCTAAAGCTGGACTCCCATGAAACCTTAGATATGTTTAAGGGACACAAATTGGAAGGGGGACACACAGCATAAAACCAGAAAGACTGTCACCTTATGAAACAGACCATCGACCTGCAAGAAAAGTCAGAGTGGGATACTTAAAAACAATGAGCCAAGGAACCATGTAAAGACAAAAAGTAAAGGCTGCATGGGCAGGGGAGAAAAAGAAAGACTCAAATCAGGAAGAAAATAAGTGATTAAGCACATTGAAACAGTGTTGTCCATATTGGGACCATTAACCTAAAGGAAAAATTCCTGACTGAAAAGGTAATTTGTTCAGAAGTGGAAAAAATGTTAAGAAAAGTACATGGCTAAAAATCAGAATGATGCTCACTTCCAGAAAATGTGGACAGGGAACTAAACAGGACAGAACTAGCTTTTTTTCCATTCACTGATGACAACCCCTCATGAATTTTATGATATTTATGGTATCTGCCAGACTTGGTAGATTGTATGTCAGAGGGTTAGGTTGCGAGATACACAGGATCCAAGCAAGAAACCATCCACAAGAAGTGACACTTACTTTGGTAAGGTATTCCCTCATCACCTGGATGAAATAAGGCATTGCAAAGTCCATAATGTTGTGTCTCCAGGCCAGTTCAAGGACCACATCTGGATGCAATAAGTCGTAGCATGTAAATAGAGAAGCTGCAAAACACTCCTTCTTGTCTTCTTCCAGAAACCACTGGAGCAGCTTCTCCGCCAGTTCAGCATCCTTAGATTCTGCTGCATACTGCATGGCATCCTAGGAAAGACCCAAGAGCACAAATCTCATAATAAGAAAGCTACACCATCCATCTCATGTGAGGCTAGAATTCACAGAGACAACAGCACAGGCCTGTTCTATGTCCTTTGAAATAAAGCTCTCCACCCTACCCTGCTCCAAGACATACACATGGAAGTTGCCAGTGTTAACTAACCTTATAAAGGCGATCTTTCTTGCAGAGCTCCACACTTTGTTTCCATCTGTTGTTGCCTTTGTACAGGTAAGCAGCAATACGTCTGAATTCGATCAACTCGTGTTTCTCCAAGCGCTGGGCAAGTGTAATGTTGTCAAAATTGTCGTAGGCATCAATAGATGCGCGCAAGCCCTGTTTGGAGGAACAAGAAGGCAGTCAGCACATGGAGGAGTTAAGCGTCTTGGGGAAACGAAGGTGTCTGCCATAATGCAGTTCACCTTGTTTTTTTAAAAAAAACTACATTCACCTCTAGCCTTTCGTCCATGGGACTCAAGATACACACAATTCTCCTCTTTCTCACTTCATATCCACATACTGAAGATGAGTTGTTGGCAACTTTCAGTGAGTTGCCAAATTGAGTGGGGGTTTGAACCTGGATGTCCTGAATCCCAGTCCAACATTCTAACCACTCCTCTGCATCGATTCTCCCACAACACTAGATTGAATGGGCTTGCAACCTTTAGTAAAGCTTTCTGAACACAGCAGTAGGCACAGGACAGTTGTCCAAAAGTAACTATAGCTCATATCAACTACTGGTTGCAAATCAGAAGGAAGGTTGTGCATGTAGATCAGTGGTTCCCAACCTATGTTCCACAAAGTCCTATGGGCTCCGCATGCACTTCCCAGGGGTTCCATGGCTGGTCCAGGAAAATAAAATAAATGTAAAGTAAAGAAATACCTAAACTTTAGATATCTCATTACTTTATGTCCCCTTACTATCTATCCCATCTTCCTCCCTCTGTAACAGTCCCCAAGTTATGAACAAGATAGGTTCTGCAGGTTTGTTCTTAAGTTGAATTTGTATATATGTCGGAATAGGTACATTTTTAAAGTGTATAGTAACTCCAGTCAAAAATATAGATTTTAAAGCTTTGGATAGCATAGGGATTAACACGCCTGTAGGGTTTGTTTGGCTGTCTGTGCCCCTTGCAGAAGATTTCACTTCACTTTCTGTCCCTGCGATAATTGAATTTTGAAAAAATTCTAATAATTATTATTTTATTCTTATACCCCGCCACCATCTTCTCGAAGGGACTTGGGGTGGCTTACATATGGGACAAAATGCCCACAGACACAAATACAAAACCATTCATCAAAGCAAAACACAATTAAAATAAAGACATAGTTAAATATAACAATCCAGATAAAAGCACAATTCAATAAAACATAGGAGTATGAAATAGCAGTGTTAAAACTCAATCAAAACAAAACTCAACAAAACCAACTGCCAGTAGTACAACTTGGCTTGTTGTGAAACCAAGATTGGGGATACAGCTTCAGTGGAGACACCTTTTCCCCATTATAACTCTTTCAGGAGTGACTTTCCCTTCCAAAGGGGAGATTTCTCTCACTTCCTGTTGTCTTGCTCCTGTTCTCAACTATGTGTCAATCGTAAGTTGGATGTTTGTAACTTGGGGACTGCCTTTACTCCTAAACACCATCAAATTGAAAAGACATAGGCTAAGCCTAAGAAACTCCGCCATAGAAATTGATAGAAAAGGGCTCTGCAACACAAAAAGGTTGGGAAGCACTGGTGTAAATACTTAGGAGCAACTGAGGGATCCTTTTAATACAAAACGGTAGAAGGAATGGAACTTCACAGCAGATCACTAGTTGCATTTACCACATGATATAAATATATCACGAGTCATGAGGAGACGCAGGTAAGAAATAATTTATCATAATCATCATCATTATCATCATCTAGTGCTGTTCTTTGGCAGCTGACATGCCTTCAATGTTGATTGAGATTATTGTCATGGTTGGTCCTGAAAAGGTCCATTGGAGACGCAGGTAAGAAATAAATAAGTAATAACTAAGTGGCAGGCTAAAACCCAGAACCTCAATCAAAGGCTGATACCAAATGAGAGACTCCCTACTGGGCACACAGAAAACTGGGCGACTTGGAAGGCGCTGAACAGACTGCGCTCTGGCACCACAAGATGCAGAGCTAACCTTAAGAAATGGGGCTACAAAGTGGAATCAACGACATGCGAGTGTGGCGAAGAGCAAACCACTGAAAACCTGCTGCAATGCAACCTGAGCTCTGCCACATGCACAGTGGAGGACCTTCTTGCAGCGACACCAGAGGCACTCCAAGTGGCCAGATACTGGTCAAAGGACATTTAATAGAATACCAAGTCTGCAAGCTTTGTGTTTTGTTTGTTTGTTTTTAATGCAATACAACTGTTTGGTTCACTCCTGACACAATAAATAAATCATCTAGTGCTGCTTTAATGACATGCTAGATGGATAGATCTAATGGCAAGGATCAAATTTTTTAGAATGAGTCATGCCAAGAGTGGCCACACAGCACTTCTACCACACTCATTTTTATATACAACTCACCTGGTAGTCCTCCTCTTCTGTCAAAAGGTTGTTGAGAGCCTCATTGACTCCTTTATTATTATGATTCTGGACTGAGCGCAAGTAAGGTTTCACAAGAGGCAACTGATTCACCTACAGGACAACAGAGACAAAAAATATCGCTTGAAAGTGGTCTCACTGAGACAATTTGTCAAATTAAAACCTGGGATTAAGAAGCCCATCCTCTCCCAGAAAAATTCCAGATGTCTTTTGCATGTTAAATAACTTTTTAAAAATTGAGAACTGGATTATTTAAAGGCTCAAACGAATTTATATTAGATTATCGCAGTGTTAACACATGAGCTTCCTTGCCCAGAACTTTCAGGGAAAGCCGAAGAATAAAGAGAGATGCAAATATTTTAGTTGTCTTTAGAAATGTGTCCCGCACACTCACCTTGGCGAAAAAGCTGACCGTCCTGGTGTGATCCAGTCGCGGAGACAACACCAAGAGGAGGTCGTTGATCAACAAAGGCTTATAATCCAAGTAGTACTGCAGGGCTTTGTAATACAGCTCCACATTGGCTACCTAGAGAGCAAGCGGAAACCATGAGCTAATTGGTTGTTTCTGAAGAAAATTAATTGCATTAGATTTAATGAAAACATGAGTGAATAATCCCGACAAGGGAGGATTAAACAAATGTATAGCGAATGGGGCTATTAATTGCTAATAGCTGGTGAGTAACTTTAAATAGTTATCTGATGTACTTTAGGGTCTTAAAGATGGAGTTAAGTCTTGGCACCACGAGGCAACAAAAGATATTCTGAAGAAGACAGAATAAGGGGGCCATTGCATTCTATTCAAAGACTATCAATACTGGCTGGCCAATGCAGGCCCAGAATGCAGAGTAGTGTTGTATTGGTTTTACAGTAGGCCGCTTTGAGTCTCTTTTTTAGAGAGAAAATAATAATAATAATAATAATAATAATAATAATAATAATAATAATAATAATAATAGGAAGGTCTCGGTTCTAACCTGGTACAAATCTTTTTATGTTGGTCTTTGATACAAGCATTTAGGTGAAATCTTCAGGACTTAATCTTAACTTCTACATTTTCAAGCTATATGAGTTCTTGAACTTCCACCCAAGTAACACTTAATGGGGTTTATTCGTGAAGAAGAAATCAAGCCGAGAGACACTCTCATGCCAGCCGCTTACCTTGGCAATGATGTCCTTGAACTGCCCTTCTTTCCAAGCATCAGTGGGATGGTTCATCATTGTAATGATAGCGTTGTCATACTCTTCATATTTGTCATAGAGGAACACCAGCTCTCCCCATAGATGGGCTTGCTCTGCAGCTCGAAGCACCTGGAAAAGCACAACAGGACAAGGAGGCGGAATTCACCTGCCAGATCAACCCAAGACTATAAACGGAAGCCTGTACTTCTATATGATACCATACTAGTGTTCCATCTTATGTAGTGTCAAGAAGTGTAGTAATGCCCTTTAAGGTGCTAAACTGGGGCAAGGAGGACGCCCATTGGAGCCTACAAGAAGGTCTCTGTCTGATAGATAACACAGTCCAATGACAAAAAATTGTCTTGGTTTTTAGGCCTGTTCCTGGAATTATTTGGGCCACTGGTCCAGAAAATTGTCATGGATAGATCACATCAGTTCTAGTTTCTTAGATAGGGCTATCCTGGTTTTCAGTTTGCAAGCAGATGACTGGTATATGGCATATGTTCTATGTCTCAAAAACTAGATCAGATAGGGGGAAAAATATACCCACAAACAGCCTAAAATTTGAGACACCAAATGCTTTTTAGACATACATCCTTTGGCAACACTGTAATTCGGTTTTACTAGCAAACCAGAGGCTAAACCAACCCACCAACTCTTTATAAGAGTTTCCTACAATATATATATTCTATAATACACATAAGTTTTCTACACTCTTTACTGTATACATGAGGTTTGGAATATTTTTTCCTGTATGCGTTTTATGTACTGCACTTGATTCTAGCCGCTCCATGATAGTCAACAGATTTTCTTTTCTTAATTAGAAACTTATGCAATTATAGTGGTAATTACTGCAACCCAGCTAACAAATTGTGCAAATTATAAAAGTTGTAACAGTAACTATATTTGAACAGCACCAGCACTCCACTTCTGTAGTGATTAAACCTCTCTGAAGGTTTTTAAATGGAGGCTGGATCACCATCTAGGGGTGTTTTGATTGTGGTTTTCCTGCCTGGCTGAAGTGGGTTGACTAGATGTCCTTTGGGGGCCTCTTTCAACTCTAGTGAACTATAGGCTATCTGGGAATCCAGTAGAGTCTCCTTCTCTGAGGTTTTTAAAAAGAGGCTAGATGGCTGTCTGTTGGGAGGGCTTTGACTTTGGCTGAAGGGGGTGGACTGGATGCCGTTTGAGGGTCTCTTTTAATTCTGTGCTTCCCTTCCCATAGTGGACCCTCCCCTGAGCCCCTCCTCATCCTTACTCTCCTGTTCCTCCTCTCCCCTACTCCCCACTTGCCACTTTAAAAGGGGTTCGGTGAAATGGAGCCCCTCCTCATCCTCTCTCCTGTTCCTCCTCTCCTCTAACTCTCCACTTGCCACTTTAAAAGGGGTTCGGTGAAATGTATTGTAGAAGGATCCAATACCTTTGGGATATTGACTCGGGACCAGAACAGTTCCAGGTGCTCCCTCATCTTCTGAGGTTTGTATTTCGAATACAAGATGGCCAGCTCAGTGAACATGCCCATATGAGCCCGCTCCAGGCCCAGGGCCGCTTCTAATAGGGCAATCAGCTCTTCAAAGTATCCACGGTCCTAGAGAACAGATAAAAAATGAACCAAAACTCAATCTAAAATAATTCTCAGCTCATTAAAATTCCTTACCATCATCATGAACTACTATTACATGCATTATTTTACATAATGAACCTGATATGTAATTAAATTGACCTGAAAAAAACTCAACTGACTGATGTTGACTATGATGGGAACCGTCTCATTGACTAGAGTACATTCTGTTCCTTTCTTATTGACTACAATACTGTTGGTAGATAACCATAAAGTCAATTGCAAAAAAAAAAGAGTTGCAAAATATATGTCGCCTATAGGTTCTTAGAGTCCTATAGAATTGTATTACACGCGACTTTCGTTAACTTTGTTCACAAACTTGACCACTTTTGTAACATTAGCTGGTATAAATAACTACTATACTGCTGAGAAATAAAAAGGACATTGACAACTTAAATGGTTAAAGGAATCCAACCTGATAATAGCTGATCAGTTCTTCAAGCTCATCAGCATGGATCACTATGTGTAATCCACAGATCTGCGCAAGCCGGAACTCCTTTCCATCCACACAGGCAAAGCAGACCTGGACACAAGAGAACAATGGAACAAGTCAACACCATGTTTTGATTTTACAGGCCAAAGCAGTCCAGCCTTCGGATTCTGTGGGTTTTAGTACATGAAATATTAATCTCTTGGCAGATTCGTGACTAGACGATGCTGAGGAAGAGTTGTTGCAGAAGGACTGACAGACATCGAGAGGGGAGTGAAGAAGAGGATGAGGACCTGTTTCCGGATACAGATTTCCCTGGAAGACTGAAGATGAGAGTTTTTGATAACGGCTAACAAAGATTTGTGAACTAACTGAGATAGACAAATGGAATATTTTAAGAAGACTTGGGATTGATTAATATGTTCCAACAATATTAGGGGTTTCATTGTTAATGATTAATAATAGTCCATTATTAAATGTAGATGTGTGGTTATATAATATTTCTGATAGGGAGTGGATGAGAATGAAATAGAAAAGCAGAAGAGTGAGAGGTCTGTAGACTAGTCTTTATATTTGTTAGTTATATTTGAAGTCTGACTTGGCCATGGTAGTCCACGCTCTGGTTACATCCCGTATAGACTACTGCAACGCTCTCTACATGGGGTTGCCTTTGAAGACTGCTCGGAAGCTTCAAATGGTCCAGTGTTCGGTAGCCAGGTTGCTAACAGGAGTGGCACTCAGGGAGCATACTACTCCTCTGTTGCACCAGCTCCACTGGCTGCCAGTTTGCTACCGGGCACAACTCAAAGTGCTGGCGTTAGCCTATAAAGCCCTAAATGGTTCTGGCCCTACTTACCTCTCCAAACGCATCTCCTCCTATGAACCGGCTAGGACACTAAGATCATCTGGGGAGGCCCTGCTCTCTGTCCTGCCTGCATCACAGGCACGCTTGGCGGGGACGAGAGACAGGGCCTTCTCAGTGGTGGCCCCTCAGCTGTGGAACACCCTGCCTGCAGATATCAGATCGGCCCCCTCCCTGCTGGTGTTTCGGAGGAAAGTGAAGACCTGGCTGTTCGAACAAGCATTTGATTAAACAGTGTAATTGAACATAGGAATACGGAATAATGGATGATGAGACTGGATTCTGATTTTACTGTTAAAGCGCCAATGATTGTTATACGGATGTTTAATGATTTAAGTTACAATTGTTTTTAATTGCCCTATACTTGTCTTGGTGTTGTTCACCGCTTTGAGTCGCCTGAGGGCTGAGAAAAGCGGTATATAAATAAAGTAAGTAAGTAAGTAAATAAATAAATAAATAAGTTAGCTTTGGTTTAGTATATACATCAAGTGTGTATTGGTGTGTTTTATTTTTTGTGTTTCTATCCTCTGAATTGTCATGTGTAGTTTTTTTCTGGTACTAGTAAGAAAAATAGATTAATAGAGTGTCTACAATGTGTTTGTTCACTTCATTACAGCTGTATTATGGTTTTTCTTTCAGTAGTAAAAATATTAATTTGCAATAGAATCACGGGATATACTAGAATACTGTGTTACAGCATTTAAGCTATGCTTAAACGGTCCCCATTTAAACATGTGGAAACATGGCCAGTAGTGTCTTTTAAAGAGCAGCACATGAACCTTTGAACACACTTACTGCCCTAAAAAAGTGTGGTAATACTTTCAGATGCTTTTATTTTTTATTTTGTGTCAAAAGCATGGCATAATAAATAAGTTAAAAAACTGATAAAATAAAGGGATCACAAGCTGCTAGATATCCTGTGGTTATTCTACATGTTTCATTCAGTGCTATATTCACCTGCAGACGTATGCCAAACAGGGCAGGCATACTCAGCAATTGAGTAAGACAAGGCCAGGGCTGACGTTCTTATTAATTTGGGGTCTACACCCCATGCACTATCAGTAAGTTTCTGCAGGATGTTACTGCATGCAGCTACTTTGTGCTTGGTGTTCACACAGTGTTTCCTAAATGTTCGCATTCAATCTAAAGTTATGCCAAGATATTTAGGGGTGGGAACTGTGTTCCAGCTCTTGGCCTTCCCAGGTAACCTTCAGTTTCATCGTCTTCACAATTATGTAGATGGAAAGCACACACTTATGTCTTGGAAGGGTTAGGCTTCAGGTGGTTATCTTGTAGTAGCTGGAGAGATCTTTCAGAGCATTTGGAAGTTGGTTTTCAACTGTTTCAAAGTCTTTTGCTTGTGTTGTTAGGCAAAGCTCATTGTGAGTGGTGGTTATGGCTGATTCTTACCAATCCCATCATGCCTCCCTATGGGCCAACTTGCTGAGAGCCAATACAAACCAGGTACAGCAACATAGGTCTCCTTGCCCCGGTTTATTTCTTTGGGATCTGAGCCCAATGTTAACGTTCTTTCCTTTTGCGATAAGCGCAATGGCCGGTTACCTCTTTCCATGTCCTGGTGCTATTGGCTTTGCGGGCGCTATCCACTGCGGCCTGGTACTCTCCCAGATGAACTAGCGTAGATGCCAGGCGGGCAAAGTTAGAGACATTGTTGTACAACAGCTTAGCTGCATCATACATCCCCTCCTCATAGCAGCGATCTCCCACCTAAAGAGACAGAAGATCTGCGATAGTGAAAGAATACCAGGCTTGTGTTTGGGTCATGAAGATACAAGTCAGAAGCTGCAGTCGCTCAATTTGAAATACAGTAACGTACCTGTTGTATGTGAGCGTTGTTTGGGCCACTGACAAATTCCTCTAACTCTGAGAGCCGGTTAGTTTTGGCCAAGGCAAAAATCAGTTCGGTCTCGACGTAAGACTCTCGGGCTTTTTTCCTAGCCATCTGCAAGAACTTAACCAGGTCCTCCCAGTTATCTTGAGAAAGGGGAGGAAGAAAAGAAGAAAATGGAAGTTAGTTCCCTCACTTTTCCATCTGTCCTATGTATACAAGGGCAGCTATGAAATGACTACAATGTTGAACAATATGAAGAGACTATACCTGAACTGGCAAATTAATCCCAGTCTGGGACAACATTAAGGTTCTCTGAAGATTACTGGTACTTTACCAATAACTTTTAAACACTCTTAAACACTGCTACATTCAACCATGCAACTCTTGCAGATGTAGAGGATCACACTAAGGTTTTCTAGCTAGTCTGGATTTCTGAATACACTAACAAGTTTTTTAAGATCACCATCAAACAGGGATGCTCAAGGATTGAGACTGGTCTCAATTTCTAAGCAGACACACTTCATACTTCTCAGACTCATACGCAAACTGGGACATCTTATCCTTGTTTATGCCTTGCTGTACATAACATTAAAATGGCATTCAAAAGTGTGATTACAACATGTACCAATTTTGTGAGGAAATATGATGATGATGATTTATTTATTTACTTTATTTATACCCCGCTAACATCTCCCGAAGGACTCGGTGTGGCTTACAAGAGGCCAAGGCCAACACATCAATAAAACAACAGTATAACAAATACAACAATAAATAAACTCATAAAGCAAAACAATAACATTAAAACAATAGCAATAAACACTAGACAATAACACCACGACGCATTTAAAACTGAGGCCGGGCCAAATGTAATGGATAAAATTTAAAATTGCTGGACATGACAGGTGAAATTGATAGGTTTTTTGGAGATAGTTGCGGTGTGCAGACTTAAATCTCTACTAAAGTGCATTTATGATTATTTATACCTCGCCTTTTCTCTCCACAATGGAGACTCAAAGCAGCCAATGCAATCAAAATACACTCAAGACCAATATCAAATCCCATGCTTTTTTCCAAAAGGGAAAAAAGATACTCGTATATACTCGAGCATAAGACGACCTGAACATAAGCCGAGGCCCCTAATTTTACCACAAGATCTGTGAAAACATATTGACTTGAGTATAAGCCGAGGGTGGGAAATGAAGCAAAAATAAAAATAAAAATAGATACCAATAAAATTACATTAATTGAGGCATCAGTAGGTTAAATGCTTTTGAATATTTACATAAAACGGTAATTTAAGATAGGACTGTCCAACTCTGATTAAACCATTATTCTAACCTTCTTCAATGTAAATGTGCTTATATATCTCTTCCAATAATAATAGAGTAAAATAATGAATGTAATAATAATAGAGCAAAATAATAAATGTAATAATAGTAGAGTAAAATAATATAAATGTAATAATGATAGAGTAAAATAATAAATGTAATAATAATAACAGAGTAAAATAATAAATAACCTTGATCCAAGTATAAGCCAAGGAGGGCTTTTCCAGCCTAAAAAAGGGGCTGAAAAATTTGGCTTATATAAGCGGTAGGTGAGGAAATGGGATGAAGAAGAATGGACACAAAACCAAAACAGATCACAAATAAGCTCATTTGTCTATCCCTTCCTCAAATAGCAGTCTTCTAAAGCAAGGCTTTAGAAGATCCCTTTCTGCCTGAGATCTTTAGCAAGATCCCTTTCTGCCTGAGAAATTTTTACGTGACGCCAGGTATATAGGTATATAAAATAGGTACAAAAAAACAAATATTTACAAACATCACTATTGGCACAGCTTGACAAACAGGCTGGTTTCCCTTTTTGTGGAGTACATCAGAAGCATCTTCTGCAGAGTCCTCTGTAAACACTGAACGTTGTTGCTAACAGACTGTGTAAATGGGTGTTCAGAACCCCTTTACTGTTGTCAATTTCTGTGACCCCAACATTGAGCTAAGGGGACCTCATCTGGGGTCAGGACCCACAGTTTAAGAAGCAGTGATCTAAAGAAATCACCAGACTCTCCTGTCATCCTGGCATGTACTACTTCTCCTATGTCCCAAAGTTCCTTCCAACTCCTTTGGCTTACCATTCTTGTTGGCAGCCTGAACAACCTCCATATAAGCAGAAGGATCATCCGCCTTTATGTATGAGTCAATGGCTTCCTTCACCAGGTCTTTTTGAAGTTGGGCTCTCGCCAATTGGCTCCAAACTGCGGGTTCATTACATCGCTCTGCAAACTCATAGGCGCGGTCCAGGTTGCCAATATGCTCAATCAAGACCTAGAAGGTTACAAACATTATAAAAGTGGTTCTCAGAAAATAGATAAGTAAGCAGGGTGGGTAAAGGATTTTAAGAGAGTTTTGAGATTCACATCAGGCTGGTCACACACTAGATTTGATCTTCGGAGTTGGAATCCAAGTGACCCTAACCTCCGTTCTGGAGGTTCCATGGTTGGATCACTGCACCCTAGGAATCCGTATTGAGCATACCTCCCCACCCGGTCTGGGTGCCGAATCTATTTGGGTTCGCCTGAAGAGACTTATGGAACCGGTCAGGTTCCTGAATGCTCTGAAGGCCTTGGAACCTGTCAGCGACTCACTGGAGGTGCAAGTGGATACATGGAACACTAAATTATCAAATGCAGTCAACGAGATCACCCCTAAACGCCCTCTCCGACCCCGCAAGAATCGGTCTCCTCGGTTTACTGAGGAGCTCCGTGCGATGAAACGGGAGAAGAGACGGCTAGAGGTCGTGTGGCGGGAACTCCGTGATGGGGAATCGGAATCAGCTTATAAGAACTTTAGAGAGTCTTATGAGCATGCTATCACCAAGGTCAAAAAATCTTATGCTTCCTTGACAGCATCTGCGAGCTCACATCCAGCACAATTATTTAAGATTATTAGATCCCTGACAACAATCTCTTCTGTCCCAAACAATAATGATCTGGCCCCTTCTGCTGAGGTTTTCCAGAGCTACTTCGCAGACAAGATCTCGCTTCTCCGCCGGGATCTCCCTGCCACGATTGATACAGTAAGTGAACTTGAGACTCCGTGGCCACTCGCTGGGCCCATCCTCGACCAGTTTACCCCGATGGATGCAGAAGTCGTCGATAGGATCATGACTGCAGCTAGGCCACCTGCTCCCTCGATCCGTGTCCCTCCTGGCTAGTAAAATCTTGCCTGGAGGGATTACGTGAACCTCTGTTGAATATAATAAATAGCTCCCTTGAGCAAGGAGTTTTTCCAGAGGGTTTAAAAGAGGCGATGGTATCTCCGCTGCTGAAGAAACCAGACTTAGATCGTTCGGTTCCCTCTAGCTACCGGCCAGTCTCGAACCTTCCGTTTCTGGGCAAGGTGGTTGAGAGGGCAGCAGCGGAACAGTTGCAGCAGTTCCTTAATGACACAGCCGGACTTGATCCCTTCCAGTCCGGCTTCCGTAGGGGGCACGGGACGGAGACTGTGCTAGTTGCCATCACAGATCAGCTTCGCTGCCAGATGGATCAAGGCGGATCAGCGCTGCTTGTGTTATTGGACCTCACAGCAGCATTTGATACGGTCAATCACAATCTATTGACCCACCGCCTAGCCATGACTGGGGTTAGGGGGATACCTCTTAAGTGGGTGTCCTCCTTCCTCCAGAATCGGGGACAGCGTGTGGTGAGGGGAGGATGGTTTCCAAGAGATCTCCGCTAACTTGCGGGGTCCTGCAGGGAGCTATTCTCTCTCCTCTATTATTTAACATCTATATGCGACTGGTGCGGAGCTTTGGGCTTGAATGCCACCAGTACGCTGATGACACTCAGCTCATTCTGAGGATGGAGGGCCGGCCGGACTCTGTACCCGAAAATTTCCATCAGTGCCTTGAGGCCGTTACTGGATGGTTGCGTGCCAGCAGGTTGAGGGTGAATCCAGCGAAGACGGAGATCCTTTGGCTGGGCCGTCCGGGTGGGAGGGAGATCCAGCTGCCTACCCTGGATGGCGAGACACTACGTCCGTCACCTTCTGTAAAAAGCCTTGGTATCTTATTGGACCCTCTGCTCACAATGGAGGCCCAGGTCTCTGCTGTGAGCAGATCTGCATTTTTCCATCTACGTCAGGCTAGGCGACTGGCTCCCTACCTATCTAGGAACGACCTGGCTACGGTGATCCAGGCGACGGTCATCTCGAGGCTTGACTACTGTAACGCCCTCTACATTGGCCTTCCTTTGTCAGTGATCCGGAAACTGAAGCTGGTGCAAAATGCGGCGGCTCGTCTTCTTGCCGGGGTGCCGACAAGGTGTCGTATCACCCCAATTCTACAACAGCTGCACTGGCTTCCGATTGAGTACCGGATTACTTTCAAGGTGCTGGTACTAACCTTTAAGGCCTTATATAGTTTGGGGCCAGCGTACCTGAGGGCCCGCTTATCCCCCTACCAACCCCAGAGATTACTTCGGTCTGAGGACCAAAATTTGCTTGAAGTCCCCAACATCCGGACTTATCATCTGTTGTCTACTAGGCAGAGAGCCTTCTCAATTGTAGCCCCTTATTTATGGAATGCCTTGCCAGTTGAAACTTGCTTTTCGGAAAGCCTGTAAGACCTTTCTTTTCCGACAAGTTTTCGATGGGTGACTAACTCGGGACTATGTCGGTTCTCGTTTTTATTGTATTTTAAAGTTGGCTGTATTGTTTTAATCTACTGCTGTAAACCGCTCCGAGCCAAACTGGGAGTGGCGGTATACAAGTCAAATAAATAAATAACAGTCTACAATTTGTGAGGTGGGAGTGTCATTCATTGTGGGATTTATGAGCCTGTATTACGTTATTAAATGCAGAAGTGTGACTATATACTATTTAATAAAGGGGGTTCAAGTTCAAGTTAACATTACAGTCAATGACCAGTTCGAGAGAAGAGGGACATAGTCCCATACCAGCATATCAGGGTTTTGGGTTAAGAGATTTAAACCTTTAAAATGAGCATATCATTGTTAGGACATTAAGATAATTAATTTAAGAATCTAAGCTAAGCTAAAAGCCATATACAGGATATTAAAACCCAACAATATTTCTGGAATTAAAGGGAAGGGAATCTAAAGGGAAGGAACAGGGTTGCTCATGTGGCACAGGGAAGAGAAGTTCAGTCAAATCAAGGAGGGAGCAACATCCATACCACAATTAAAAGACTGTAATCCCAATTTTCTGCTAATATGAAGTCCCAGCTTGTACTAGCTTGTGCGATCAGTCATCGACCGCTGAATTTTAATTGCTGCCGTGCAGAACTTGGTGACATTACAAGTTATAGCCTAGTTTGTGCCTGAAAGCAGCAGGGAGATGTAAAATAGTCCAGAGTGCACTGGATGTCTGTATAGCCATGGCGTAATGAGACAGGATTGAATATCTCTATAGAACAGGCATTGAAGAAGCATATGTTCCCTTGTCTCTATATGTCTCAAGTCACAGGAACACAGTCTCTCGGTGTATGGGATCTTCCGAAAACGGAATAAAGGGAGTGGAGTAGTTAGAATTTTTAGTCTTTATATTTGTTAGTCTTATTTTCGTATAAATGTGCATGACTGTGTGTTGGTGTGATTTATTTTTTCTGTTCATGTTTTTTTGTTGTCAGGTGTACATTTTTTTACTAGTCAGAAAGCATATTAGTAGGCTTTTTAAATGTACAACTTAATAAAGTTTTCTTTTCTATCAATAAAAATTAATACTACCCCCACACCCGCGCCAAATAATCATTTCTTGTTCAGGCTTTAGCACAGCAAGTTATCTGCCAGCTGCAGGAAACCTTGCCAACCAAAAGGTTGACAGTTCGAAGCCCGGGTCAGGGTGAGCTCCTGGCCTTTAGCCCAGCTTCTGCCTACCTGGCAGTTTCAAAAACAGCAATGTGAGTAGATAAACAGGTACTGCTTAAGCGGGAAGGTATTTAAGGCTCCCATAAGGCTGCCTTTGTGTTATTAATAAACATTATTTGAAAAAAGAATATATATAGAGGGGGGGGGAATGCCAGAAGAATGCCCCCGATTCGATTAAGGAGGAAATTTACGAACAAAGCTCTTTGGCAGGGAGGTGGAGTGACAGCACACCCCTGTGGCTTGGACCAAGCACACGCCTCCAAGATGACAAAGATGGGGAAAGCCTATGTATACCTCTATCTATCTATGTACAGTTGTCTGGTCAGTGTATAACAGTATTGAATGTTTGCCATATATGTGTTCTGTGATCTGCTCTGAGTCCCCTTCAGGGTGAGAAAGACAGAATATAGATACTGTAAATAAATAAATAAATAATCCTCCACTGCTCTGGGGAAACAGCAAGTAATGTAACTCATAAAAGAAGTTAACATAGCTTATAACATATTAAAATATATCAATCAATACTCTGAAATTCAAAATTTAGAAATAACCTGGATAACATAGGGCCTGCCCAAGAGGATTGGACTTTATTGCTGAAATAATCAGCCTTTACTGTCTCACCAGATCTACTGAGTATGTTAGAAAAAGAGCACAGAATGACCACCAAAATGGAAATCGTAAGGAAAGTGGCTGCATTTTTAAAGAAACTTTCACATGGCCTCAAGAGGGATGAAAATGTCTTGGTTTACTGATACAAGTCTTACTTGAGATGGCTGTTTTATTTTGTAGGTGCATATTGTTTGTTTGGGATAAAAGGTGTGCTGAAATTGACCAAACTGCCCTTCTTTATTGTGGTGTAGTTTTTCCAGGTTATTTTTGCCTCTGGACCAACATTTCTGTTAGAGATGTAAAGCCCAGGAACACATCTATTTGGTTGAACTGAGGCATACCCACATTTTGAAAATCAAGATAGGATTCTGCAGATCCAGAACTACTAGGTCTCACCTGAATTGCAGAGGTATTCACATCAAACTTCCTAAAAATGGCAAACGCTTCTTCATAGAGTTCATTGCTTATAGCAATATTGGCAATATCTGGGGCATCGTAGTTATCCAGGCGGTTGATGTACTCCATCACACGTGTGCGGTCTGCTTTGATGGCAGTCAAAATCAGTAGATTCTGGAGGTTCCTTTTAATGGGAACAAAGATTCAGCCCATCAGTCTTTCCACTGAGTTTCAAAGAGGAATGGTTTGCAAGTCTAAAATAAAACTGGAATACAGACAGTGGCAACCCATTCAAAACATACCCATTTTTTACATAAGAAGAGCTACCCATACTTGATCACATAGTAGTTGCCACCGTTTAATAATTGCACTCCCATTTTGTGAGGTGGCAAATTTGGTATTTTTGTGTTCCTCTCAAAATAGTCGCAGAGCTGTTTGGGGCTGATTCCACCTTCCTTGGTTCTTCTTTCTATGAAGGCAAGGCAATTTAAAAAAATAAGATAGAACTCTGGAACTCAGATCTTCCCTCCTTCCTCCAAAGAGCTCCACTTCAGGTTTTGTAAACAACCTTGCCTTTGCAGAAAAAAAGAAGAGAAGAAGGAAGACAGAATCTCCCTCCTCCTTCCTTGGAGGCAATACAACTTAAAACAAACAAACATAAACAGAACTGGGGTTTTTTTGCGCCTGGATCATCCCTCCTCCTGCTCCTGTCTCACTCAAAAAAGGGATAAAATGTGTGCCTTATGTGATGAAATACAGTAGTTTATAACAGCTGAAATTACAGCAATAAGTTCCTTGTTAATTGTACTTAAGCGCGGATGGCACGCTGGGAACCAAGTTGGCTGTACAGTCACCAGAGAGGACTTAGGGATTCCTAGAGGGAATGTGAAAAGCTGACCACCATGACAGACATTCCTAGAAAGGCGTTGTCTCAGGTAAAACAAATAGCATTTTTAATATTCATGTTTTTTCCATTTTCCCAGGGGTTCTATGTAGAACTGTTGGGCTATTTTAGAGCAACAGCAGCCCAAGTGAAATACAGAAGTCACTTTTTGTGTTGGGGAGACCCTTTCCTACCTATGTTCACTGAAGACTGAGTTATCCAGAACAATCTTTTCAAGCAATTCAATGAGTTCATTGGGCAGGTCGGCTGTCATGAAGGCCTTGACTGTCACCGAAACCTCCTCTGGGTCCTGAGTCTCTGATAATGCCGTCTGGACAACCTGAGATTGAGAATATGATCTGTTATCGTCACCAAGAAGAGCAAGACAGTGGCTTCATTTTTACAGAGAAAAGAATAGCAGGAAGATACTTCAGAGTTACAGCCTTCAATTAACAGAATTTGTCATTCATTCAAGAAACAGATGGATCAGAAGGGGTTTTTGAGGAGCATCTTTTAAATGCAATCAACACAGAAATTATTAAGATGCATTATATTTGTACAAGAAGGTAGAACTGTGCATAGCTTCGAGGGAAAGTGGCATCAAAGAAGCCACAGGAATCATATTTTGAAAAGATACACAAATGATCTATGACAGCTGCTATCCATTTCAAACCACCCCACTACTAAACAGCATTTCTTTTCATTTGCCAGTGACTTTTTCCAGCTTATTTCTGAAAACCCAACTCAACTGGCATACCTGATCGATGAGTGGTCTTCTGAATGGATTGTTTTCCTCCAGAACACTGACCCACAGTTCTGGATCTTTTCTGCGAACCAGATACCGGGCTTCACTCTTGAACAAGGAGTTCTCGTTGCAGACCTGAGAAACAAAATAGAGGAGATGTGGGGGAGAGACGAAGTATACGTTCTAGACTTGAAAAGCAGGTATTTACAAGGCATTATTCCCAGCTTCACCGTTAGTCTCATTTAGGTTGAAATGCGACTTGCTTGCCAAGCGCCGAACTCCCTGGCACTTTTTATTGGCTGGCTTTTCTTTACAGGCAGTTTTCTGCATCTATCTCCTGAAGAGATAGATTTTCTTCTGATCACTGAAACATTTGTGTTGCAGGATAAATTTTAGAAGGCAAGATTCAAGACATATATAAAACATGGGTGGGGGTGGTCTGAATGGTTTAGTTGACTGTATTTTGCAAGAAGAAAGGATCCTTTTAAAAAGACTCGCTGTTCTTTGTTGAACACAAATACTAGAAGAGCTGCGTGGAGCTGAAGATGGGCAAATGTTAATATATAACAGAGCCAATGTAAAAGGTCAATTTTATTCTGAGACAGAGTCTCGTGAACAAATTGACTACAAACTATAACCAACCAAGTGTTTCATAACAAAACAGTACTCATGTGTGGCTTCCTGTCATTAAGGAAGCTGGAAATGGCTTGTATGCGTAAGGATGGAAAAGAGGGATTTTTTTTAAATTTTATCATATCAGGAGCGAACCAATGTATTTGAGAAAACACAAAGTTGAAAAAACTTGGCATTCTATTAAATGTCCTTTGACCAGTAACTGGCCACTTGGGAGTGCCTCTGGTGTTGCTATAAGAAGGTCCTCCATTGTGCATGTGGCAGGGTTCAGGCTGAATTGCAATAGGTGGTCTGTGGTTTGCTCTTTTCCACACTCGCATGTCGTAGACTCCACTTTGTAGCTCCATTTCTTAAGGTTGGCTCTGCATCTCGCGGTGCCAGAGCGCAGTCTGCTCAGCACCTTCCAAGTTGCCCAGTCTTCTGTGTGCCCAGGAGAGAGTCTCTCATTTGGTATCAGCCACGGATTAAGGTGATGGGTTTTAGTCTGCCACTTTTGGACTCTCGCTTTCTGAGGTGTTCCTTCGAGTATCTCTGTAGATCTTAGAAAACTATTTCCTCATTTAAGGCATTGGCATGCTGGCTAATATCTGAACAGGGGATGGGCCGAAGATATCACTGCCTTGGTCCTTTCATTGCAGGCTGCTACTTCCCAGCGGAAGTCAGGTGGAGCAATACCAGCTAGACAGTGTAATTTCTCCAGCGATATAGGGCGCAGACACCCTGTGATAATGCGGCATGTCTCATTAAGAGCCACATCCACATTCATTTCTATTTCTGCACTATGCACCCAACATGAATCCAGTAGCCACCGGAACCAGGCGGCTCTGGGTACCCGTTTAAAAGGAACATCCTGATAGAAAGAAATCAGACACTTTTCACCCTAACTATCCTGCTACCCCCCCCCCTTTTTTTTCTTCTCTTTATCCTTATACTTTCCCCGCCCAGTTCTTTTTCTTCTTTTACACTATATGTTTGTTTTTTTAATGGAAAATCAATAAAGATTTTTTTAAAAAAAAGAGCCACATCCACTGTTTTAGCATGGTGAGATATGTTCCTCCCTGGGCATGCATACTCAGCAGCAGAGTAGCATAGCATAAGGGCACATGTCTTCACTGCATGTGGTTGTCATCCCTAGGTTGTGCCAGTCAGCTTTTGTATGATATTGTTTCTGGCACCCACTTTACCGCCTCTTTGGTGCCTAACAAAGTTCTCAGGAGAGGAGAAACAAAACTCTTCATCTGGGAACTTGTGCATAGAGGTAATCGTGATGTTATTAAGCTCTACTGTTATAACCTCTATATTCTTTTCTTCAGTGTTATGGGCACTACTGACTTGGAGGCCTGGTTTTTACAAAGACAATGCTTCCATACTCTGCATGTGGTCTTTCCACTACTAAGATCATTCCAGGAACTTTTGGTTGTTTCTGTTGTTTATCCCTGTGTGTTTCTTGGACACACAGCACATCACATTTCTTATCTCGGCACAGTTCATAGAGCAGCTGTTCTTCGGCTGCTGACATGCCTTCGATGTTGATGTGAGATAATTGTCACAGTTGGACCTGAAAAGGTTGGTTGGTTGGTTTGGTTGGCTGCATGCTGCAAGTCACTTCTGAAGTGAGAGAAAGTAAGGTTGCTTACCTGTAACCATGTTTCTTCTAGTGGTAACTGTGAAATTCACACCTGTGGTATTTCCCTGCGTCCACGCAGCTGACTCGGATCTTTCTTGAAAGCTTTTCCTAATTAGGGACTCCAGCCCCGCCCATCTACTCCTAATAAAGCCAGGCAGCGGGGCTTGGAGCCTTAGTTCCGTACCGTGAAAGACAGTCGGAGATAAAAGGCATGACAGAATGTGGGGAGGATGGGCAGGTTGTGTGAATTTCACAGTTAACCACTAGAAGAAACATGGTTACAGGTAAGCAACCTTACTTTCTTCTGCGTGGTACTGTGAAATCCACACCTGTGGTAGACTAGCGAGCAGTCCCACGGATGGTGGGTGTCATGCTGGTGCAGAAAAAAGTACTGCTCTCCCAAAAGCCGTCTCCTTCTTGGCAGCTAAATCCAATTTATAATGGGAGACAAAAGTATGCGGTGTTGACCATATGGCCACCCGACAGATATCATCCAGAGGCACACCGTGCAAAAAAGCCATGGAGGCTGCCAATGCTCTAGTGGAATGAGCATGGATCTGAACAGGTAAGTCCAGTCCTGCCATTTCATAAGCTAGCCGGATAGCTGCAACTATCCAGGCCGCCACCTCTGGGTAGAAACAGGAAGGCCCACAGTATCCCTACGGTACTTAACAAAAAGTCGTAGTGACTTCCGTAATGGAGCTGTGCGGTGGACATAAAAATCAAGAGCCCTCCGCACATCAAGAAGGTGCAAAGACTGCTCCAGGGGAGTAGAAGGATTTGGAAATAAGGTTGGAAGGACAATGTCCTGAGACATATGAAACTATGATGCTGCCTTAGGTAAGAAGGGAATGTCTGTGCCCAGCATGACCTTATCCTTATGAAATTTCAGGTAAGGACTATCGACTCAAGAGCCATAAGCTCGCTAGCGCGACAAGCAAAAGTAATAGGCACTAAAAATGCCGTTTTCCATGATAGATGGAACATGTCAGAAGTGGCCATTGGCTCAAATGGTGGTTTCGTAAGGGCGAAAAGAACAACCTCCAACCTCCAAGAGGGGGGACAGGCCTACTTGGGGCCAGAAATTTCTAAAGCCTTGCAGAAATCTCTTTACAAGAGGATCGGATAAAGGAGAGGGAAGAGAATGCTCGCTTCTAAACGAATCTATATTTGCCAGATTGACCTTCAAGAATAATAATGAGAGTCCTGAATCTGACAGAGAAATCAAAAAATCCAGGAGGAGGGAAGTGGAAGCAGACAGAGGCTGAACCCCTTGCTTTTGTGAAAAAATGCAAAAATGACACCACTTACAAATGTAACAATGTTTAGTGGCAGGTCTCAGGGCAAGGTCCAAAATGCCCTTTACTGGTTGAGAGAGGGCTGAGGCTGGAGCTGCCACGCCGTCAACCGGAACTGAGTGACCTGGGAGTACGGGACTGGGCTGTTGCCCATAGCCAGCAAGTCTGGTCTGAGTGGCAACTGAATGTAACAGCTGCCTGCAAGTTGGAGCAGAATGACAAACCATGGCTGGCGGGGCCACCATGGTGTGATGAGAATGCAATCTACCTGCTCTGCTTGAAGACGAGAGACCACGCTGGACAGCACTGGCAATAGTGGAAAGATGTACAGGAGGGTGGATGTCCAATCCAGGAGGAAGTCATCTCCCAAACAGCCTGTCTGGTGGTGGCGAGGAAGACGTGTTCCAAAGAACTGGCACTTCATTTTGGCGGGAAAGGCAAATAAGTCCACAAGGGGAGTTTGCCATCTGACAAAGAGCTCCCATGCCTGGGAAGGATGAAGGGACCATTAGTGGTCAGTATAAACTGTCTGACTGAGGGAGCCAGCAAAAGAGTTCTTGATGAATGGCACTGATGGTTATGGTATACCAGTCTCAGATTCTGATGATGAGGGCAAGCAAATCACAATCGTGGTGGTGGTGGTAAGCTGGACAATACTGTCCATGAGCAAATGACAGATAAGGTGCAGTGCCATTTCTACTGCGAGTAACTCCAAATAGTTGATGTGCTCCATGCCCTCTATGGCCGCCTAAGGACCATGGATGGTGTGACCCTTGAGGTGAGCTCACCACACTGAGAGGGAAGTGTCGGTTGCTAACATCGCCCACACAGAGATTGGAGCGATGAGTCCACTAGTTGAGAGACCTGTGGATGGCTAAAGGGACAATGACACATTCATTGGGCTCATCCTGCATGGGATGAAGTGCCCGAAGAAACCAATTCTGGAGAGGCCGAAGGTGCAAACAGGAGAAAGGAGTGGCAGCTGTGGTGAATGCCATGTGTCCCAAAAAGCACTGGACATCCCTGGCATGGATGTATGGCGTCTGCCAGACTCAAAGAGCTAATGAATGCAGATTCAGAAACCTGTCTGCTAGCAAGTAGGCCCTTGCATGCCAAGAGTCCAATACAGGCCCAATGAATTGGTTGTTTGGATAGGCTGAAGAAGAGATTTTACCTTGTTGATAAAAAGACCAAGCGTCTGCTATAAAGACAGAGTAAAGTGAATGTTCCTCTGTAGATACTCACAGGACTGTGCACCAACAACCAGCCATCAATAGAGGGGTAAACTACTACCCCGTGCACCCAGGGATGAACCGGCATACAGCCATCTCCTTAGTAACACCTGTGGAGCTGTGGAGATACCATAATGAAGAACTTGAAATGAAAAAGCCTGACTGCTAGTAAAAAGTGACAAAAATCTACCGTCTTGTGGTCTAATACCACATGAAATAGGCATCCTTCAAATCAATGCTACTGAACCATGTCTTGCTGGATAACAGAGGGAGGATGGTTGGTAATGACAACACCTGAAATTTGCAATATGCAATATATGCATAAAATCCTGTAAGGTCCAAAACTGGCCAAAGCCCACTGCCTTTATTGGAAACCAAAAAACAGTTGGGGAAAAGGGAAAAGAAGGAAACATAGAAAGATGTAAAGAAGCTACTGCTCCTTTTGAAACAAAGTAATTACCTCCTGCCATAACACAGGAGGAGGAGTGGCCCGTAGAGTCCCTACTGGGGACAGTTTGAAAAATTCAATTGCATAAACATGCTCTGTAATCTCCAACACCCATGAGTGAGAAGAGATCTAATGCCATGCATCTAAAAATGATGAGGTGGAGCTCCAAAAACTGGAGCTGAAGGGTTGGAGGCTATTAAAGAAGAGAAAATGCATGCTAAAAACACTGTTGGCCCTGATCTTCTTCTTTCCCTTTAGTTTGTTGTCACCCCTGGTGGAAAAATTAAGTCTCCCAGCTACAGAGGCCCTAGAGTTCTGGCCCTGCTGAGGACTGAGGGAGACCGGTCATGAAGGTTGATGATAATTAAGCTGAGGGGCTGGCCACCACAATCTAGGCTAGATTGTGGTAAAAAGCCAAACTTAGAAGCAGCCTGTCAAATCTTGTGCGTACTTTTGAAATGAGGGTCTGTATCAGGATGAAATAGACTATGGTCTGCCATGGGCAGCTATCCTGCCATTGCTCTGCCTTCTTTGGAGAGGGTAGAGGATCTACACATGCTGGTGGATGGCTGCTGCAACAGCAGCAAACACCTTTAGTACTGTATCGGTGCTGTGCTTAGCCATAGCGTTGTGATGAGAAGCTAAGGTGAGATCCTACTGACAGAAAGCCCTTGGGATCTGTTGATGTTGTAGGGGAAGAAGATCCAAATAAGGTGCTGAGCTATGCCACAAGAGCACCTGATAGGCTGCCATACAAGCATGGTAATGAATCATGCAAGTGAGTAGGCTAGCAGTGGGGTGGATCTTCTTATCACAGTGGACTGACTTGAGGCAGATACAGGAGTTGCCCTTTGTTGCTGCTTTCGCGGACAAAAGGAATTAAGGCTCCAAGCCCCGCTGCCTGGCTTTATTAGGAGTAGATGGGCGGGGCTGGAGTCCCTAATTAGGAAAAGCTTTCAAGAAAGATCCGAGTCAGCTGCGTGGACGCAGGGAAATACCACAGGTGTGGATTTCACAGTACCACGCAAAAGAATCAACCGTCTACAAAGACATTGCCTAGGGGATGCCTAGATGTGTTGTAATCCTGCGGGGAGGTTTCTCTCATGAACTAGAGAAATGAACTAAGAAGGGATGAACTAAGAAGTAGAATATGGTCTATCATTACTGATCTTCATGCTAAAAACTGCTAATTGGAGCGAATTACAGGGAGCGGTCAAGCCCCCTGTTTAAGGAGCTCCACTGGCTGCCATTTATTTTCCAGTCCCAATTCAAGGTGCAGATTATCACCTATAAAGCCCTGAACGGTTTGGGACCCACCTACCTTCGTAACCGCATTTCCTTCTACGAACCTGCATGATCCCTTCGATCTTCTGGAGAGGCCCTCCTCTCGCTCCCACCTTTGTCGCAAGCGCAACTTGTGGGGACAAGGGAGAGGGCCTTCTCTGTGGTGGCTCGACTCTGGAACTCGCTACCCGGAGAGATTAGGCAAGCACCCACCCTGGCAGCCTTCAGGAAGAGCTTAAAAACCTGGCTGTTCTAGTGTGCCTTTGAGGAATGAACAACAAATCCCCCATACCTTGACCAAGTCAGTACAAAATGCCCTTCAATTCAATTTTTCTCCCCCTTTAGTGAAATTCACCCCATTGTTTGTCCCATCTGAAGCACCCACCAGATACATTACCCTACTCATCCATCTCACCCAAGGTTTTTAAGTCTATCCTTTGTAATTGGCCCTGCCCACTCTGCTCAATTTGCTGTTTTATTTTATATTCTGTGTTTATTTTGTATTATTTTGTTTTATTATATTTTATTTTGTATTATTGTATGTTTGTACTCTTTTTTGCTTTGTTGTAATTGTTGGGCTTGGCCTCATGTTAGCTACCCCGAGTCCCCCTCGGGGAGATGGTGTCAGGGTATAAATAAAGTTGTTGTTATTATTATTATTATTATTATTATTATTATTATTATTATTAACCCCTGAAATCCCTGGCAGACTGTTTGAAACCAACAATTTAGAGGAGCTACTTTATGCACAAAATCATGGTGAATTAAGTTACTGTTCATATACCCTTCCCTCCAAGGTTAAGCAACGAACACTAACCTTGATCAGCTCAAGGTCACATTGGCCCCTTTCATAAGCTACACAGGCCAAGTGTGGGTCCCTCTTTTCACAATATTTCCCTACAACCCGGCTGTCGTAGAAGGGGTTCTCCCTCAAGAAGCGCTCCGGGTTGTTATTGCTGTCGATATAGATCTTCGCCAGGGCATTGTGGGTTGCCGGTTCTTCACAGCCTTCATGGATCCGGGACTCAAGCCACGGCAGAAGCAGCTTCAACCTTGAAGAACAACACAGCTCTGTTTACTATACCATCAATGTTCTACCATCCAATGACCACATTAAATTTGGATCTACCCGCTTCCGTAAAAAGCAAAAGGTTCAAAATGGTGTGCAGTTCTTGGCTAAGCCATTGCCTAAAAGAAAGGTAGATGTATTAACTAGAGAAAAGAAAAAAGAAAGAACAAGGAGACATATGCTACTATCTTATGTTGGGTTTGCATGGCTTTCTGCCATGGGGTGCATGTTGCATTCAGTACCCCATTTGGGGGGTGGGGGTGCGGAGAATCTAACACATCTTTAGAAATAAACCTATCCTGAACCAGCACTGTAAATTTTAATCTGGCCACTGAGTCTTACCGGTTTCTTTTTTCAACTTCAGCAACCAGTTCATCGGTGGAGAATTGGCCTCTCACCACCATGATCAAGTTCTTAATGACATCTTCAGAGCAATCCACATCAAGCAGCCCTCCAACCACGGCTGGGATACGGCTTGGGTTGACCTAGGAAACAAAGACGTCTTTCATTTTAGGACTGAGAACAACCATCTCAAGAGAAATACCATATTTCATTGCACAATAGTCACACTTTTAATACCTTTTTTAAATAAAAAAGAGGTTTGTGACTATTACAGGATGAAAAAAATCTATCTTTGATTATCTGGTTTCTGTTTTTTAAATAAAATAAACTGCCTTACTTCTGAGACAAGAGGAGGAGGGATGATCCAGCCTCAAACAAACAGCTCAGTTTTTCTCCCTCCCTTCTTTTTTTTTAAAGGCAAGGCAGTTTACAAAAGCTGAAATGAAGCTCTTTGGAGGGAAGAGGGAAGAGCAGAGTTTCAGAGGCCTCCACTTCAGGTTTTTTAAAACTGCATTAGCACTTCAGAGGAAGGAGGAAAGAGTGCAGCTCCAGAGATCTCCATTATAGTTTTTAAACTGCCTTTCCTTCAGAGAAGGAAGGAAAGAAGGAAGGGGAATTAGCCCCAAAACAGATCTGTGACTATTATACACAAAAATATTAATTTTGCTATCCAAAAAATGGGGGTACAAATATTACATGGTAGCAACTTTTGGAGGAAGCAATTTTCCCAAGCCTCCTCTATATGATGTTTGTCTGTTTTGTAATGTGTTTTTTTATAACCTGAAGTATATATCTTATTTGATTTGCAGTTTCCTTATTTCTATATACCTAAAGGAGTGGGAGGGGCTGCAGGTCACGTGGCTGACTCAGTGACAGTTTAGAATGCTCAGGTTTAAACAGGATGACAGTTGGGGAATGTCTGTTGAGGAATGACTGTTAGAGAACTGTTGTTGAACCTTGAATGAGCTTGAGTACAGAAGTCTGTCAGAGTGTAGAAGCTCATGTTAAGCAGCTAGATACTGTTGAGGCTTGTGTTTTATTTGGAAGCAAACTCTTATTAAAGAGAGCTGTATATAAAGCAATATAATTTATGAAGAAACTGTTAAAGATAAGTCCAAGATACAAACTCTCTGAAATGTTACTGAAGTTTTTAACACGTGACAAGAAATGTGCCTGTATCTTTAAATACATGAAGTTATCAGTAAACAAAACTTGTAATCTTTAAAAGAAGTCTGTTTGCATAATTGTCTGCTCAAAGCATCATTATCCCCAATGGCAACTATCAGGCAATGAAATACGGTACAAACCAAGGGCAGCATGAAAAGCCAAAATTATCCTCCTGGACTGAACTCAGTTTCATTCGATTGCCCTACAATGAAGGCCATATACTGAATTTAGGTTGTACTGAATGTCCAACAGTTATTCTATGAAACAAGGACAGGTTTGCTATCACAGTTTCAAATGTGCCCTTTTGCTTATACGTTACCTTTTGAACATAGATCTCAATGTATTTCTGTAGGTTGTTCCGGTACAAGTAGAGAACCAGGTCGTGAACAAAGTCAAATCTGTCACAAACAATGATGAGGGGAAGCTGGTCAGTAAGCTTGGCTTCCTGTATAAGCAGGGAAGAGATAAGAAGGTACAAGGCAATACCATTATAACTGGGGAAAGGACAAATGGGAGTATCAATACAAATCCAGAAGTGAGTGCAACATCTAGGCAAACAATGGAACTCCCCATTTACCCACACATAGAATAATCACAGGATGTCTTAAATCTACACCTGCTGATAGACTTTATAAACTATCTGGCATTGCCACCCCACCCCACCCACCCCCGATGTGCAACAGGAAATTGCTGCCATTGCGAGAGAAATAAGGTTGAACACTGTGAAAGCCACCCACTGTACGGCTATCGGCCGTACAGTGGGTTTTATTGAGTCTGACTTGATATTTTTATATGCGTATGTGTTTTATTTTATTGTATTTTACATTGTACTTCATTTTTGTGTTTCTTTTTAGGCGCTTTGTGCCATCTATAAGCCATCCCGACTCCCTTCAAGGAGATGGTGGCGGGATATAAGAATAAAGTTACAGTAATTCCTTTGGGATGATAAACATATGCAAGAAATAATTTGTTTCTCAGCCTATACACAATACAGGGACTGCAATTACCAGATAAGTAATATACTACTTTTAAAAAAACTGTTTCAGTACCATCTGATGAAAGATGGTATAGCAATCTACTCTCTCTCCATATATATATTTATTTTAAACCCCTATTCAAGCAAGTATTCAGGGAAATCTTACCTTTAGGAAGTTTTTCACCCGTTCTGGATTGTAGCAGTTGCTTTCTCGGCAGATTCTTTCAACTTCCTTGATTTGGCCTGTTTTGCAAGCGGCCTGGATATATTTGAAGTGGACATCTGGGTCCTGGCTGAAGTTCACAATAGAGCCCAAGAAATAAAACAGACCTACAGTAACACAAACAAACAGCTGAAGCCTACATATTAGCACTCACGAATACATAGAAACAATAAATTTAATGATGGACGATCCTTCATGTAGTTTCCCTGACCTTACTATTTATAGTCTTAACAACAGGATGATTATATACATGCTTACACACACATCCCAAATTCTGGATCATACGTATCATTAAGTGCTTTCTAATCTGGAAATGCTTATGTTGTCATAAATGCAACAGTCCTAGACTTCTGGTTGTTTTTTCTAACATGATTGGCCCCTTTTAAATCCTGTTACATCAACCTTAGTACTTCCAGCATTTGCTTGTTTACTCCATATTGAAGCCAATATATGAAAGCCAGAATAAGAAAAGCCTACAGGATTCTATAAACTAAGTAACAGGATTGTGGCTTTATTTTCATATTGGAGCTACCAACTGATAGAGGGCTTTGCTCTCTTTATAGTAGAACTGTTACGTAGAAAAGTGCTGGAAAGAGAAAATTAAATCATATTCTCTCTTTAAAACACCAGATTATCATATGTACTCATTTTGCCTGATGTATTCCATATTTCCTGAAGTTCCTGTTGAAGAAGAGAAGTCTCTGCAGTCAGATTCTTCCTAAGGCATGGTTCTTGCTTACAAGACATTGTTCAATAAGGCCCGTATCTCCAAGGCTAGCTTTTTACAGCTACGTGTGCTGGACTTGTTGCACCTGAGTTATTTCTATTTCATTTTTTTTTAAAAAATTCTGTTTCAGTGCTTCTATGGAAGGCATACCTTATCCACTGCCTTTGGCCAACACTATAGAGTCTCCAGTGGTCCAAAGTTACCTAGGCTTACCTTCATAACTTTTAAAGGATTCAAAAAGCTCCACAAGAGATTGTGTGCCCAACTGTTCATGGTACTTTGAAGCGACCTGCACGCAGAGTTGCAGATTTTGCCGGATGTTGGCAGACAGCATGGCACGCAGGCACTCCACAGAGTCTTCAACGGACAGAGAGCCAAAGAAGTTCACAAGCCACTGGGGGGAAAGGGAGGAAGACTTTTAGCATAGTCATGTGAGCCTCATGAGATGTTCAATATTGCAACACCTACTAAGAAAAAGCTGTGTATTAAGACAATGATGCTGGGGGGAAAGGAAGGAAAAAGGAAGAGGGGCCCGACCAAGGGCAAGATGGATGGATGGTATCCTTGAAGTGACTGGCTTGACTCTGAAGGAGCTGGGGGTGGTAATGGCCAACAGGGAGCTCTGGCGTGGGCTGGTCCATGAGGTCACGAAGAGTCGGAAGCCACTGAACGAATAAACAACAAGAAGACATCAAGGTCCATAAGCACTTTCTTAGTGTTTAGAGCAGGTTTGTCTTTGGGGCAATAAAGTAACTAATACAAGAATCAGCTCAAGATTTCTCCTCTCCTCCCCAAACCTGTCCCTATCACCTTCTGGAGGTAATTCAGGTCACTGCTTCTGAAACGGTGGGTCCTGACCCCATATGCAGTCCCCTTAGCTCAATGTTGGGGTTTCTGAATGTCACGCATTTACACAACAATGTTAGCAACAGCGTTCAGTGTTTATGTTCAATTTTGCAGAAGACACTTCAGGTGAACACCATGAAAAGGAAAATCAGCCTGTTTAGCAAGCCATGCAAGGGCTGATTTATTATCCGTAAATGTTTGGTTTGCATGCCTGTTTTATATACTTGAGGTCACATACCAATCTCTCAGGCAGAAAGGGGTTGTGAGTGGAAAAAAATATAAGATGCCCTATTTTAGACCAAAGCTCACAGAAGCCCCAGCTGTACATGCCCACTGAGGAGTCCTGGGGGCTGTGACCCAAAAAGTAACTTTCCCAACCTCTAGAAACAAGATGCTTTGCTTAAAGTAGCAAAGTATTCCTGGTTTAGGCTAAGAAAGTGTTTTAGTCCAAGATCCTCAAAGGAACTTGTTCAAATGGTTCAAGTTGGCATTTGAGCTTGGATCTTTCAAGTCTTAGCCCAACTAGAATTCAACAGGCAGACCTAAGGCTTGTGTGATCTACTTCACTTTTTACTAAAAACCTGAAGTCCACCAACTAAAGCCTGGTTTTAATATACATCCATCTCCATCCATCCCACTTAAAAACCAAACCTTCTGAGCATGAGAATGTGCTCCAAGTATGAGAACTAAATGAATCTAGATGTCTTTTCACAAAATAATTTGTTCCTGGTTACAACCAGTTTTCCTCTTTTCAAAAGCATGAAGGCAGGGTGATTTTGTTAAACAACTACGAGTCAAAAGTCCTTCCTGATATATAACAAACTACCCAGAACCTGTCAATAGATCCAGTTTTAACTTCTGCCCTGCTCGCTCATCCACTACATCACATTTGGCTTATTTCGGTATAGGCAAGAGGTAACTCCAAGAACAGCAAACGAAGCCTCCAGCAAAAGCTGGCAAGACTAAGACCAAGGAAGAACAGGGTAATTGCTCACATGTTTGTCTTACCTCTGGGTTCAAAAGATGAGTATGAACAACAGCCCGCTTGATGTCATAAAGGTCAGTGTAGTGCTCCAAAGCACGCTGTAACAGGCCTGCTTTTTCACAAAGCTGGGCAATGTGAGCCCGGTCATAGTGGGTGAACATTTGATTTCCTAAGATGGCATCTGCAACCTAAGAGAGATGTTAACCAAAGCACAAGTCACTTTATGACAACAAATCAGAGGGCAAAACATGTTACCCACTTCCAAAACACATACAAATAAATGTCTACACTGAAGTATAAAAGAAGAACATCACATGGGATATTCCTTGAGCATGACCAGAGAACACCAGGAACGAGAAGGAATTTTTCCAAAAAAATATGAAAACAAAGAAAGAAGGAATTACTTGTGGAGCATGAATGAGGTTCATCTCAAGGAGACGAGTCTGAAGGTGTCCTTCCGCAGGTCGATTATTTTTCAAGGCATCCAACAAGAAAGAAGTACACTGCTGAATTAAACTATTCTCCATGAAGACATCAACGATCTATGGCCAAAAGAAACACCAGGCTGTCAGACATGTAAATCGTTGCCATGTAGCATGTGGTAAAGCTATATTGGTTTCACTTTGTATAGTTCTACAGCATGTATAAGTAGAGGGTAGGTTTGGGGGCCAAAATTACAGATTCCGAAGCGAGCTTTTACCTGGTTGATGTTGGCCAGGGGTTCTTCATCTTGTACCAACATCTGGGCAAACTGGAGGCCCTGATCTGGGCTGACTCTCATGACACTTCTCAACAGGAAAATCCAGTCTGGCGTATAGCCAACCTGAAAAATCACATTTGAAGATTTAGGTTTGCTTTGAATCAATGGTGGTAAAAAAGAGCAAACCCAAGATACTTCTGGACTTTTGAAAATATTCTTCTTCTAAGATTCACAGGAGACTAAGCAGAGGAAGTTTAGGGTAGAGGCCTTTTTCAATGTATGCACCTGAGGAATGCACTCTCAATGAAAGGTCACATGATACTAAATATTAAGAGGTTTTTTTCCCCCCCCATTACTGCAGTAAGAGTTTGTCTTTCTAAACATTCAGATCGGCTTTACGTTCTACAGATTTCATGCTGCTCTGTTCCTATTTCATATGGTTTTAGTGTTACTTGTAAGCCAGCTTGGGAGTTCTGAGAAAGAAGAATACGTTGCCCTGAGTCGCCTTCGGGCTGAAATAAGTGGGATAAAAGTGACATAAATACATTTAAATACATAAAATATTACTAAGATGAAAAAGTTAAGTAAATATTCCAAACAGTAGGTATGTGTGTTTATATTATTATTATTATTATTATTATTATTATTATTATTATTATTATTATTTTACCCCACTCTTTCTCTCCAAAAAAGACTCCAAGCAGTTACAGGAAAATGGATGCAATACAATTTAAAACCCAAAAAAACATCCAGATAGTAAAATAGAATTAAACATGAAGGATATTAAAAGTAAAGTTAAAACCCTTTTAAAATAGGCTAAAAACCTTTTCTCAACTAAAACCACAGCATCCCCTGACTTGTTATAGGACCCTACAGAACTAGGGATGTCATTTAATTTGCCTATAAAACACGCCTTGCAGTTCTGGTCCCATTTCATGTTTTTCTGCCTGGAATCCACTGAATATTCCATAGACCACGTGACTTCAGTAACTGAAACTTAACAGACTGAGATTCTGGCCCGTCACATGACAGATATGCTGGAATGTTCAGAGACGTTAGCTTATCTCAGGAAAGATAAAACATAACTGCAGGATATAAGAAGGTTCTGACTTGCAAGTAAGTTTTACGCAATCACATACTTTTCAAGAGGGGAAGGTGAGATATTTACCTTTTTGGCATAAAGGACAATTTTCTGGAACTGACCAGTTTCTGCAAAACACTGAATTACTTTGTTTGGGACATTCGCACGGAGATAAACGCTGAGGGCAAGAGTTGGGTCCGCAGACTTGACTAGGTCTCCCAGTTCCTCAGAGCATTCCAGCTGAAACAGAGAAGAGTGTTCCAGAACCAATGCAACTCACAGGTTTAAGCTACATTTGGTTTGCTAGCACTAGAAAGAGGATTTCGACTCAACCGGTCTTCTTGGGTCAACACTATCTGCAGCTCATCTCTTCCCTCTTGTTCTTGCTGCATCAAGCAACTGAAATTGTTGCTCTGAAAATACAGGTTATGGTCTCCTGACTTTCCACGATTCAACTCAATGCTCAAGAAGAGAACTCTATTGTTAGTGCAGGAATGTGACCCAGCTTTTGCCAGCTGGAGTTCTTTGCTTTAAAAAAATGCTACCAGCTTCAGGGGGATTTAAAAGCAGGCTTGTGCCCTCTCAATGTGTTGGGTACTGGATCAGATTAGGGGAATGAGAGTCCAAGCCACTGCAAAGACACTAGGCTGTAGAAGGTATATTTAAAGACACACAATCGTGAAATTCTTGAAGCATTCTGGGCACACAGCATAATAATAACAATATGTTTTATTTATAGCCCACCCTATCTCCCCGAGGGGACTCGGGGCAGTTTCCAGCAAAATAAAACACAGTGGCAAACATTCAATGCCAAAATTAACACATTAAAAGTCAAAAGCAAACTCGACAAAATTATAAAAATAACAACTTAAATAAACAAGACATAATACATTGGACAACATAATAGGTTCTCAAAAACTCTTGAAGATTAGACTAAAAATATTAGAGCTAAGATGGTATACAGCTAACCGATGAGCCCTGCCTAGTCCAACAATTAGGCGGGGCTGAATATAAGATGGAATTAGTCCTCCTCCTCTCCATAAGCTAAGGTGCATAGATGAGTTTTTAAAAGCTTTTCAAAGGAGAGGGGGGAGGGGGCCATTTTTAGTTCTTTAGGGAGGGCGTTTTATTTATTTATTTATTTCGCACATTTCTACCCCGCCCTTCTCCCAATAAGGGGACTCAGGGCAGAGTTCCAGAGGCGGGGAGCGATCACGGAGGTTCCCTCTCTCGTTCCCACCAACCGCGCTTGAGACAGGGGTGGGACCGAGAGGAGGGCCTCCTCTGCAGATTGCAGTGCTCGTGCTGTATGCAGAGATGTGGTTTTTAAAATAGTCAGGGCCTGAACCGCTTTTTAGGTAGTGACTAGCACTTTGTATTTAGCTCGGAAGCAGACTGGCAGCCAGTGGAGTTGCCATAACAAAGGAATTGTCCGCTTCCAAACTGTCTTCAAAGGCAGCCCCACATAGAGAGCGTTACAGTAGTCCAGATGGGATATAACTAAGGTGTGGACTACCATGGCCAGATCTGGTGTTTCAAGGTACTGGTGCAGCTGGCACACAAGTTTTAACTGTGCGCAGGCGCTCCTGGGCCACCGCCAACACCTAGGGTTCCATGGTCAGCTATGAGTCCAGAATCACCCCCAGTCCTCCAGACTTCAAGAGGAGTGCGAGCCCGTCCAACACGGGCTTTAACCCCACACCCTGGTCCGCCTTCCGACTGACCAGGATTACCTCTGTTTTTTCTGGATTTACTTTCAACTTGTTAGCCCTCATCCAGACCATTACTGATGACAAGCACTAGCTTAGGGTCAGGATGGCATTCTTGGCTTTCACTGGAAAGGAGTAATAGAGTGGGTATCATCCGCATAAATTTGACACCAAACTCCAAAACTCCAGATGATCTCTCCCAAGAGCATCAGCAAGGCATGAAATGTTTCAGTGCAACACACTTGTCTTCCTGTGTCTGGGCAGTTTTTGTTGGCACAAGTACCCCTTATACCAAGGACATCTGAATGGTTATTGGCTTACCTTATCTTCTTTAAGCCATTTTTCTAGCAGCTGTTTGCGGCCTTGTTGAAGGACGGGACGGCAGAGTTCCAGCGACTCAAACTTGTTGAGCTGTCCTTGATCGAGGAGGATCCCAAAATACTGCAGCAAAGGCGAGGCCTGCCCTGGTTGTGCGGGCACACTCTGGAACTTCCGGATGGTATCGCTGGTCCGCAGGATTCCCTGAAGGTTGGAACAGAGCACAGGAGGACTTCTTCAAAGTAGTTTCCAAAGAGATAGCCAGGGCTTGCCCAGTTTGCTATTTTAGAATACTGCATCTAAACCAGTGGTTCCCAACCTTTTTTTGACCAGGGACCACTTGATCAGGGAATATTTTGACCAAGGACCACTTTCCAACAAAGGGTTATGAATACGTTTTTGGTCAACTTTAGATTCGGTTTGGTTATTTGGGGTGCTGATTTGGAAAATTGCATTAGATAGACCACATCAGCTCTAGTTTCTGATACAGATGCCACCCAATAGTCACCATCTGTTCGCTCACATAAAACCTTTTTAATAAGCCTTGGTACTATAAGAAGGTTTCGTGAGACCAGTCACTCTAGTTGCAACGGTGTAGTAACGGTGAGGCTGCACAACATATTTTAGTTCTTGCGGACTACTGATGGTCCACGGACCACAGGTTGGGAACCACTGATATAAACGATTGGGTTGGTCCAACACCTTAGTTGCTGCTCCCACATCTGAAGAAAAACTTGAAAGCAACAGCCATCTCCTGTTACTTCAATGGTATCGACCCTCTCATATGGCTGCTGAATGCAAATATTTTATTTAGTCATGTCTAAGAGCCTTCAAAGACCTATCCTCAATAAGTTGCCCAATTCTCTCTGAAGGACATCTAAATTAACAGGCAGAGTAAGCGGGTATTCCCAGAAGAGAATCTAGAAATATTCGCTATATAGTCTGTCTATCCATCTAAATCTATCTGATAAAAGTGAAAATATATTTCTTTGTATATATGTATGTATGTATCTATTGATTGACCGATCTATGTTTGTATGTATTTTCTAAGATGGCTCCCACATCCAGAGAGCTCTGCGACTCCCACTGACAATGGATCTGGATGGAATTTGGCACACAGGCCCATCATGATCAACTTTAAATACTGGAGGCATTTGGGGGGATTGACCTGGGATTATGGGAGTTGTAGCTTACACACAAAGAGCACTGGTAACCCAACAATCAATGGATCTGGACCAAAAGTGGTACACATACACATTATGACCAACTTTAAATGCTGGTGGGGCTTGGAGACAGTTGTAGTTCACTCACCTTTTTATGCATTTTTAATGGTTCCATTAAAATCACTATTGAAAACAACAACACTCCCTTAATTCTTTATGATAAATTTAATGAATCTACATAAATAAAAATGTAATGTTAGTTTGTGGGATTCACATAATTCAAAAACAACTGGATGAATTGACACCAAATTTGGACACAATACATCTATCATGCCAATAAGTGACCATCACTCATAAAAACACTGAAAAATACAGAGGAAGGGACTTAAAAAGCCAAAAAAGCAAAAAGACGCTACAGCGAATGTGCAAAAACTACTCCCTCAGCAAACAAAACACCCAAAAGCATATCCACACTCTCTTCCAGACTACAGCTCCCAGCATCCCCTAGACCAGGCCTTTTAGGAGAGGAGGATGATCCAAATCCACTGCTTCCAAGCTGCAAGCTTTCTTCTCCTTGGATTTCTTTGAGAGCATCCCAATCCCTGAATATTTCCAATTTTCTATTCCTGGATTGCAACTCCCAGCAATCTTTCAGATAGACAGATTAGATATAGATAGGTAGGTAGGTAGGTAGATGGATCAGGAGGACTGATGGGAGTTGCAAACCAAGAATAGGTAGAGAAGGAAGAAAGAGGAGAAAGAGGAAGGGAAAGAAAAGGTGGGGGAAAGAAGGGAAGAAGAGAAGGAAGGAAGGAGACAAAGAAAGAAAAAAGGGAAGGAAGGAAAGAGGGAGGGAAGGAAGGAGAGAAAGAAAGAAGAGAAAGAGGGAGGGAAGGTTGGCCACCGCAATGCGTGGCGAGTACAGCTAGTAATTCATAAAATCAAAACCCAAACAATGACTATTTCTAATATTTATCATTACAAAATACCTATCTTGGACATCATTGTGTACCTGAGCTCGTAATTAATGAGGGTAAGATTCAAATCTGAAACACACTTTGGCACTGTTGCACACTATGGGATCCACATCTGATCAAGCAATAATGCTCCTTCAGATATTCTAGTTATCCTTAAATTCCAAACACGCAGCTAAAGTTGCAAGCAGGCTTAATGCATGTAATATACTCACATGCCTCAAGATGCTACAAAAATAACTGCAGACAGTGGGAGAGGAAAGAGTACTCTTTGTGTATTAATATTCAGTAGGACAAGTACTAATTTGTTATTTCAGCCAAGACGCAACTGCTTAAGCTTCTCTAGAAGCTGTCTGTTCCTCTCTGAAAAAGGAACAATGTCATACAACACAGCATTCTAGAATAACTGGGGACTGCCTGCTGCTTTAACCAAGGTTAAATCTTAGGAAATTTACAATAGCAGTCACACATAGTTTATCACATCTTACCTTTGGGGCAGATGCGGCAACTTTGGCTGCTTCTGCGTAGTTTCCTTGTGCAAAAAGAGTATTAAACTTCCTCGCAAAGAGTTCCTCCGCTCCAGCCAAGTTACTCCGGATTGCCATACGCAACCCCAAGTCTGGGTTCTGGAGCACATTGGTGGCGTAGTTGACAATGTTATCTTCTTCCACACAAACAGAGAGTACCTATGAAGACAGAGCACACTTGCAGATCAGTGCCAACAAACTCATGCCGTGATGGGGGGGGGGGGGGTTATAAATGGCATTGACAAAGTGGTGATTCATCAAGTATAGGCAAAGGCTTATAATCCTAGACTGCTGACTTAAGAGGTTTCATGCCTTACCTGCCCTTTTTTGTTTACTCCAATTATACCAGAGGTAGGTTCGTGAGGAGCCGTGACAAAGATGGTGTCCGCACTAATACGGTTCATGTAGATGCAGACACCGGATTCCAAGTCATACATATGAATGTATCCATACTTCGTGATCAGATAGATAACACCATGTTTTGTTCCAATCTATCAACGACAGAAAAAGATGACATGGTTAACTTGTTAGAATTCAAAAGCTCAGTTAGGGCTGCAGACTAACCTTATGACAGGAGTTGGAGTAGGGTATTATTAAACGTGCATCTCCCATCATTCCTCACCACTAGCTTTGGTGGGTAAAGCTACTGGGAATGGCAGCCCAGCAATGTTTGGAGAGGCGCCCAATTCCCATCTCTGTCTTACAGCAAGGCAGCAAGGACTCAATACATAACAATACATAACACCACTGGCCTATTTTGACCATTTCTCACGCTTCCAATTAAAGACCTAATACCATTTTGAAATGGAAGCCAGGTGCTTTTATTCCTGATGTGAGAGCACTGAAGTTTTGAAAAAAGCTGTCACTCCTCCAGCTCACAAAAGGAATGTATGACTTTCAGCTCCAAAATCACACTTGATCTGAGGAATTCACTTTTTCAGCCCAGGTCCATTTTTCAGATACAATACATGTCCAATACAATACATGCTTTGCTCCATCTCCAGGGACAAAAGACCCAGCTCAATGCAAAGATCTCAATGGAAAGCCTGTCCCTAGGGACCATAATAATAGTAATAAAAATAATATCAACAACAATAATTTATTTTAACCTGCCACCATCTCCCCAAAGGGACTTGGGGCGGCTCATAAAAGCACTGCGAGTGCCGCATATAAAATGGACAATACGTAAGCATATAAAACAAAATATCATTTTATAAACAATGAACACACATAAAACTTCATCTACTAAAAATTTTAAGAATTCATAAAATGCAGTAGAACCTGCAGATAAAACTGGCTATCTTCAATTAACAATCCAAGTGCCATGTGAGCAATCGCAAGGACCTTTAACCTAGCCATAAACTACAGAAAGTCAAAGGCCTGTCTAAAAAGCCATGTTTTTAAATTACACCGAAAGGCTTGGAGTGTGGAGGCTAACTTAATCTCTCTAGGGAGGGCATTCCAGAGCCGGGGGCCACCACCAAGAAGGCCCTCTCTCTCACCGCCACCAACTGTGCTTGAGAGGGTGGTGGGACTGAAATAAGTCCTCCCCCACCCACCAGGAGATCTCAAAGCCCACACCAGTTCATAGAAGGAAATGCAGTCTCGAAGACAGCTTGGACCCGAAGTGTATAGGGCTTTATAGGTGATAACCTACACTTTGAATTGGGTCCAGAAATTTATCAGAAGTCAGTGGAGCCGATTTAATAGGGGCATGGTATGCTCCCTATAGCTAGCCCCAGTTAGTAATCTGGGACCATCTGTACTGAAATGTTTAAAAGAAAACATACCACTGAATGAAACATGCAGAATAATCACAGGGTGTCTTAAACCTACACCTGTTGATAAACTCTACAAGCTAGCTGGCATTGCCCCCCCCCCCCCCCCCCCCCCCCGATGTGCGATGGGAAGTTGCTGCTAAATGTGAGAGAAATAATTATTTATTTATTTATTTATTTGGAGCATTTATTAACCGCCATTCTCAGCCCACTCGGGCGACTCACGGCGGTGTACAGTACAAAAGGCAATTCACACAAAGACAAGTACAACAGCATATTAACCATACAACAATACAACAGTTAAAATTACACTAACTAATCCGCTTCGTCTCGTAATAGAATCGTGACCAATCTCGTATTCCTTGTACCATTCCAGTCGTCTTTACCACATTACTATAGCACTTAATTAAATGCCCTCTCGAACAGCCATGTCTTGAGGCTTTTTCGGAAGGACAGTACAGGTGGGCGCCAGTCTGATGTCTGTAGGGAGAGTGTTCCACAGCCGGGGGGCCACCACTGAGAAGGCCCTCTCTCTCGTCCCCGCCAGCGTGCCTGTGAGGCAGGCGGGATCGAGAGAAGGGCCTCCCCAGACGATCTCAAGGTCCTCGTGGGCTCATAGGCCAAGATGCGGTCTGAAAGGTATTTTGGGCCGGAACCGTTTAGGGCTTTGTAGGCCAAAACCAGCACCTTAAATTGGGCCCGGTAGCAGATCGGCAGCCAGTGGAGCTGGGACAACAAGGGCGTTGTGTGCTCCCTGCATCCCGCTCCAGTTAGTAACATGGCTGCCGCACGCTGAACCAGCTGAAGCTTCCGGGCCGTTTTCAAGGGCAGCCCCACGTAGAGAGCGTTGCAGTAGTCAAGCCGGGATGTGACCAGAGCGTGTACCACCGTGGCCAAGTCAGACTTCCCGAGATACGGGCGCAGCTGGCGCACGAGCCGAAGCTGTGCAAATGCTCCCCTGGTCACCGCTGAAACCTGGGGATCCAGGCTCAACGATGAATCCAGGGTCACACCCAAGCTGCGAACCTGCGCCTTCAAGGGGAGTGCGACCCCATCCAGCACAGGCTGTAACCCTATACCCTGTTCGGCCTTGCGACTGACCAGGAGTACCTCTGTCTTGTCTGGATTTAGTTTCAGTTTGTTCGCCCTCATCCAGACCGTCACAGCGGCCAGGCACCGGTTCAGGACCTCGACAGCCTCCTTAGTAGCAGGTGGAAAGGAGTGACAGAGTTGGACATCATCTGCGTACAGATGACACCGCACCCCGAAACTCCGGATCTTACCCAGCGGCTTCATGTAGATATTAAACAGCATGGGGGACAGTATAGAACCCTGTGGAACCCCACAGGTCAAAGGCTGTGGTGTTGAACAGCAGTCCCCCAATAACACCTTCTGGGTACGACCCTCCAGAAATGACTGGAGCCACTGCAGTGCAGTGCCCCCAAGACCCATTTCCGCAAGGCGCCCCAGAAGGATACCGTGGTCGACGGTATCGAAGGCCGCTGAGAGGTCCAGGAGCACCAACAGGGACACACTCCCCCTGTCTAGCTCCCGACGGAGATCATCCACTAAGGCGACCAAGACCGTCTCGGTACCATGTCCCGGTCTGAAGCCGGACTGTGCCGGATCCAGATAATCCGTGTCTCTCAAGAATACCTGGAGTTGTGAGGCCACCACGCTTTCCATGACTTTGCCCAAAAAGGGGAGATTGGAAACAGGCCGAAAGTTGTCGAATTTAGTGGGGTCCAGTGATGGTTTCTTCAACAGCGGTTTTATAACTGCTTGTTTTAAGCACGCTGGAATCTTGCCTTCCCTAAGGGAGGCATTAACCACCACCGTTACCCACTCAGCCAATCCCCCTCTGGCCTCCTTCAGAAGCCAGGATGGGCAGGGGTCTAGGATGGACGTGGTGGGCCTCATTCCTCCAAGTATCTTGTCCACATCCTCGGGTTTCACAAACTGAAAAGAATCCATCAAAATAGGACAAGCAGGTGCTCTTGTTACATCCTCTGAGACTGCATTTAACGCGGCGTCCAGCCCAGAACGGATCAAGGCGACTTTGTCTGCAAAGAACCGAGCAAATGCTTCACAGCGCGTGACCGAATTGTCAGGGCTCCCGCCAGATGGCGGGAGTTAAAAGACCTCTAACAATCCGAAACAACTCCGCCGGACGGTTCTTTGCAGACGCAATAGTGGCCGCAAAGAAAACTTTCTTTGCGGCCTTTATTGCCGCGGCATATGCCCTAAGAAAGGACACAAACCGTGCTCGGTTTGACTCGCTTGGATCCGAACGCCACACGCTCTCTAGTTCCCTCTTCCTTCGCTTCATCACTGCCAGCTCCTCGGTAAACCAAGGGGCTGGTTTAGCTCGGCTACTTGAGAGGGGACGCTCCGGAGCGATCATGTCAATTGCCCTGGTCATCTCCCCATTCCAGAGAGCGACCAAGGCCTCGACATGGTCACCTACCGAGGTGGCAGGAAAATCCCCAAGAGCCGTCAGGAATCCATTCGGATCCATCAGTCTCCTGGGGCGGACCATCTTAGTGGGTCCTCCACCCTTGCAGAGGTTAGGGGGCGCAGTGAGCCTAAATCTGATCAGGAAGTGGTCGGTCCATGGCAACGGAGAGATGGACAACTCCTCCACACCGCCACCTTGCTCCCATCCCTGGCAGAAAACTAAGTCCAATGTATGTCCTGCACTGTGAGTGGGGCCAGTTACTTGTTGGGACAGCCCCATGGTTGCCATGGCAGACATGAAGTCCTGAGCTGCTCCTGAAAGGGCCGTCTCGGCGTGGATGTTGAAGTCCCCCAGCACAAGAAGCCGTTGAGACTCCAACGCCAGGCTCGAGACCACCCCCGCTAGCTCAGGTAGGGAGACTGTAGTGCAGCGAGGTGGACGGTACACTAACAGAATCCCTATTCTGTCCCGGTCACCCACCCTCAGGTGGACGCATTCAAAATTTGTGGTCTGCGGGATGGGACTCCTGGTCAGATGGATGGAATCTCTATAGACCACTGCGACCCCGCCTCCCCGTCCTCCGGATCTCGGTTGGTGCTGTACGGAGAAGCCTGGAGGACAAAGCTGGGTAAGATTTACGCCCCCAGCTTCATCCAGCCAGGTCTCCGTAATGCACGCCAGATCTGCCCGCTCATCCAGGATTAAGTCCTGGATCCAGGTCGTTTTTCCGTTGACAGACCTGGCGTTCAGCAGCACCACCTTCAATCCGGAGGGCCCGCTCACCTGGTTACACCAATATACCTTAGGAGACCGGTTTAGGGTTGTTAATGTTGGTAAGCGGTCCGAATTAAGCCGAATTTGAGGTCTCCTTTTACCGCATCTCCTCCTCCCCACCACGACCTCTATGGGGCCCCTCGGCTAGTGGAACACCTCCCCTCCTCCATGCCGCAGTCCAGCACCAAGGTCTTATTTCCAATATCGCTCGAAGTTTGGATTGTTGGCCTTTGCCATCTCCCTTGCCTCCCCTCCTCCCCCCTCCCCGCCCCATCCTTGTTCACAGGCTCCAGCCCTCCTCCTCCCCTGCCCCCTCCACTAGTCAGCAGTAACAGGGACAGAACAAATAGGGGGATGGGGAGCCACATGGATAACAATAGATTCAGGTGGGGCTAGGCGTTCAGCCACACCAGTTAAACAGTTCGTAAAGTGTGTAAGAGAAATAAGGTTGAACACTGTGAAAGCCATCCACTACATGGCTACCAGCCTCCTCCCAGTAGACTCAAATCAAGGAAAAGCTTTATGAGAACTACCACTCCTCTTGGCGTCCCTCCAGCAACAGCAAGGGTATCCCTCTGGGCAGCTAAATCAGGAAATCCCAACTGGATGGCCCCCACGAGGGTCTTTCTCCAGGGGCAAACCAAGAATGGGCAACCTGGAAGTCCCTGAATAGACTCAGAAGGAGTGGGCAGATCAAAAGACAACCTGGCAAAACGGCACTACCTAAAAGAATCCCATACCCTGTGTGACTGTGGAGCAGAGCATGCAATTCTGCATCTGTATGCTTGTCCATTGTGCCCTGCCTCATGTACAGAAAAGGAATTGTTGGAGGCTACAGACAATGCCGTTGCTGTTGCCTGTTTTTGGACAAAAGATATTTAGCCACCTGCACACCTTCTATTTTATCATAATTTATGCAATGCTTCTGATACAAAATAAATAAATAAATCTGTACTGGGACACATGCCTTCTTGAAAAAACATGCTGATCTTTCCAAAACAGTACTCCTTTTCATGCTCAACTGTTTTGGGTCCTGATCTCTATCCACCCAGCATTACCCTACCTCATGTTTTGCATTTATAATCTAGAAATAATATATTTATTTACACAGGACTTCTTCAGCTGATTACATCTACTGCTCAGTTGCATTTAAGGTTCATTAATTGTTTTTGAACTCCTTCATATTCTTCTTATATGTCATTAGGTAACATTTTAATGAAAACTCATTACAGAACATGGCTACTTAAGGCTCTGCAGTCTTCATCTTGTATCATGGCTACCACAGCATTACATTGACCTACATTCCTTGTTGTAACCATCATGTGACCCTCAAGGGGACTCATGTACCTAAGCATTCTAGAGGAATATTTAAGCATTTTTTTCTTTGCATTCGCATCATTACCGACACTAACAAGAATCATAGAATCATAGAGTTGGAAGAGACCTCATGGGCCATCCAGTCCAACCCCCTGCCAAGAAGCAGGAATATTGCATTCAAATCACCCCTGACAGATGGCCATCCAGCCCCTGTTTAAAAGCTTCCAAAGAAGGAGCCTCCACCACACTCCGGGGCAGAGAGTTCCACTGCTGAACAGCTCTCACAGTCAGGAAGAAACCAGAGACAGCCTTTAGCTTGGCTCTGTTTTCCCCTGAGAGCTTAGGCATTCCCAATGGCATTCAAGCATTCAAACAGGAAACCTTGAAAACTCACCTATTTTCTGCTTCAGAATGTCCTCTGGTTTCTAGAGCGGCCTGCTAAGTGGGGTCTATGGCTGTGTTTATACTCTAGAACTAATGTACTTTAACATTGCTTTAACTGCCATGGCTCACGGCTATGGAATGAGGGGAATTGTAGTTTTACCAAATATTTTTCCTTCGATACGAAAGAGAGCTGGTGCCTCACCAAACTACATCTCCCAGGATTCCATAGCATTGAGCCATAGCAGTTAAAATGGTGTCAAACTCCATTAATTCCACAGAAGTGAAGCACCCTATGTCACTCCAACAAAAGTAGACACAAACTTTTGCATGCTATAGGTCAATTCTGCAATGGATCCACTCAATTCTGAGTCATTTTTAGCAGAAATTTGGTATGTCATATATCTGTTGTCTATCCATGACCGCCTGTAAAGAACTAGAAGTTACATAGTGCTATTGCAACACTCAATACATTGTAGCCCAATCGACGTAAGTTTAAATCAACTTCTGTGACATTACCTGCATTGCTACTGGGAAATCAGTTTGAGCCTCGGGTGGAAAGAACACATCGACTGCTTTCTTGACAAAGGGCTGGTTTCCAGAGGCTGGCTGGCCCACTTCGATGATATGCAGCTGGGAAGAGATAAAATTATAATCAGTTGTTCCATTGCTATAGAAGCCATCTCTAATTGAAAATTAATTTTAAAAGCAACCATTTAAAATGATGAGGGATTGCCAAAAACACTATGCTTTGGGTTTGTAAAGGGCCCGGTTTTGGAAGGAGCCTGTGCATCAAGGTCGCATCACTGGAATCTGAAAGCTTAAATCTGAAGGCCAAGTTTGAAGGTCTATTTGTAAACTGCACCCAGCTCAGGAACTCAAACCAAAGTCAATTTGGTGAGTGCAGAGTGGAAAGGGAGATAGTCTCCCATTCCCTTCAGCAGAAGTCCTACATTGGATAAAGTCCAGTATTGTCAATTTCAGTGTCTGTCAAGAGGCGTTGGGAAAGGCACAGGATCATTACCATGTGGGAGTCACTGGTGGCGCAATGGGTTAAACCAGGGAGAGGGGACTGAGCTCCCTCTGTCAGCTCCAGTTCCCCATGTGGGGATAAGAGAAGCCTCCCATGGGGATGGTAAAACATCAAACATCTGAGCACTCCCTTGGAAACGTCCTTGCAGACGGCCAATTCTCTCACACCAGAAGCGACTTCCAGTTTCTCAAGTCGCTCCTGTCATGGAAAAAAAAAACTACCAGGTGTACTAAGCCAAACCTCTATAAGTAGAAAAAGCCTCTTTTCAATATGAGGGTATCCATGATTTGCCTACATTTGTCCAAGTCCCTTCTATAGAAAATATCTAAGGAAATTTTAGTTTTGTTTTTGTCTTGCGATTTTGCCTACATCCAGCCCAAAAACGATCAAATATATGGTTTTTACCTTGCCACCTGCGGGGCTGCGCACTGCAAAACAGAAAAGGGTGGAAGGCTTGCCATTTCCTTCTATCTTGAACTCCGCAAAGGCTGCTGCATGTCCTTCAATAGGCTGTGAGACTTTTCGATCAACTGAATACAGCTGCATAGCGCCAACCACACGGTTTTGCTACGGAAGCAAACACACGAACACTCAATAGCTGAAATGCTGAAGAGCTTCACATCCAACAATTCATATATTTTAATTCACTCCAGGTCCTTTATCTGGCTGTCTATCACAAAAGACTCCAACTGCTAAGACTCAGATCCATGTCACGGTTTACAAATTTGCCATATATTTGGTGAGCAGCAGCATTCGTTGCCAGCTGTGACTGAAAAAGATTTCTTTATAACAGGCAACATTTTGAGACTCCGATATTTGCACCACCTTCACGGCTTTACTTACCTGGGCGGAGATTCCTATGAGGAGCAGCCACTTTTGATTCTCATCCGTTCTATAGTTGATTATTTGGCAGCCTGCAAGGCTGGCGTGTCTGTCGAACATCTTTTGGGGCAGGGAGTCCCCTTCCATGCTCCAGTGATACACAGCCGTCTCTGTCACTAATGCCACTGTGTTCACAGATATCCATTTCCAAAAGATCACCTCCTCAGCCATTGTGTGTGCTTTCATTTTACTTTTCATCTCAATGTTAAAAATCTGGAGAGTTTTCCCGGCTGGCATGCAAGACAGAAAATCAAAGGTTATCACAGCCCCCTGAAAGGTTACTCAACAAGCATGGGTCCCTGCTCTTTTTATGAAACAAGAGTTCCTTGGGTTACAACTGGCCTGAGACATAGGCAGAAAAATAAGGTGCCAGAAACGGGGATGGATAGGACCACTGCAGCAGCATTTGCAGGAAAAGGCATGCTTTTGAATACGGTCCCAGCTGAACTGCTACAGTTCCTTTTGCCGCCCCTCTGCTTTGTGTGTAGATCTGGCATGATTTTGAACACCGGAAGTGGAGCCTGAATGGCTGGGGATGAACCCCGAAGGCCTAACAGAGGAGCACTTTATCCAGAGCCTCATCTATTTCAATAGAGTGAGTACACTAGGGAAGGAGGCACCAATTAAGCAGCAATATTACTTAGAATTCAAGACAGTAAAGCCAAGGGCAGCATTGTCCCACAGGACATAAAAACCATCCACTAATCCCTGTTTCACTTCCTGTCTTTCGAGGTAAAAGCCCCTTTAAGAAGATGGGGAGAACAGGTGGGAGATTGCAGTTTATGACATGAAGCAGTTAAAAGATTGAACTGCAGCTTGGCAAAATACACTCTTCTAACAGAAGGCATTGCCAGGGGGGAAATCCCAACCACTTTGTAATATGTTGACATAATATGACATGAAGACAAACCTGGTAATGATTGAGGCCAGATAACTTCTCGACTCTGTCAAAAAAAATATCCATTTTTGTCCTTTTTCTACTCTGCATTTGACCTAACGTTGTGATCATAATCTTTGTTAGAAGGATGGCATGCAACAGGCTTGCTTCTAATTCCCTTTTTTATCCAGGAAAGTAGGAAGGACACAGCAGTACATCACTATCAGCCTAAAAGGCTGAATCCCTTTTCACAAAGAAAATCTACATTCAGCTGGGCTTTCTAAAGATACTGCTATAACTCAAGGCATCAAAGGAGCAGAATTTTAAGAAGCAGGCATTAAGCAACCTTCCAACCTACGATCTGCTAATTTTTTTTGCTTAACATCTTTCTTGAAAGCATAACTGAAAGGTTGCGCATGACCTAGCTTGCTCCTTTCAGCTCCAAACCAACTAGAAAGGATAACTCACATCATGGCAGCTATCTATTACCAGTGTTAGCCTCTGCTCAGAATTGCCTTTCTTATGTTTTTTTTTTTTTTGGTAGAGTTTATTTCTCCCTTTCCTGCCCTTTACAGCTGGAAAACAGTTCCACAGTCCCATTTACTGCAATCTTAAGCTAAATACCTTGTGCAGACACTTTTGAGACTTGGGTTATTGACAACGTGGAACATCACAGAAAATTACCAGCGAAAATAACATTGCAATTTTCACATGTGCTCAGTGTCATTTGTGAGCTATTGGATATAAAGCAGGTCAATTTCTGGTGGGGCTCAAACAGAAATGTGCCATTCTCAAACCAAACACTGACACATTTTCTCTAATGATATTTTAGGGACTCTTTTCCCAATTGCTATTTCTGTTGCAGACCTCTAAAAGCACTGAGGTCTATATAGCCAAGCCTAACTCTCCCCATTCAGAGGCAAGCCAAATTGCAACTACTTTTCTCTAAAAAGTGAATGGGCTGGGCTGCGATGGGGAAGGAGAAGCAGCATGGATATGAAAGGAAACAGGAAAAGAAGTGAAACACCATTTTCTTTCTAAGGGTAAAGAGAGAAATACCCAAACACAAGATGCAGAAGAAACCTGTGGCTGCCAAACAGGATGGCTTCAGACAGGTTGGAAAGATCAGAAGGAAATCCCTTTACAGAGCTGAAGCTGCATGCATGTCCCGATGCTTCAGTTACAAGGGAGGCATTCTCTTCCAACTGCCATTATTATTATTATTATTATTATTATTATTATTATTATTATCATCATCATCTTCATCTTCATCATCATCATCATCATCATCATCATCTGCTTTATCTCTTCCACAGGAGACTCAAAGTGACTTTGCTTCCCTTTGCAATCAGGCGTATAAAATTCAGGCTGGCAGTCTTGAATCCTCATTCTTTAATCTGGACCCTGCAACTAGGTTTTGGCTTTATACTTCTTTGTTATTAGCACAGTATTTGTTCAGATTACACTTACTGGTGTGGCATATTTATTGACATATTTTCCTTGAAGGAATTTTCAACAGGAGATCCATGGTTCAGCATCCCTTATCCAGAATTCAAAAATGCTCTAAAATCCAAAACTGACTATATGGGTGACTGGATTTTCTTTGCTTTCTCAAATGGTTATGTGATATAAATGTGGTTTCATGCACAAAATTATTAAAATGACATTCAAGCTATATGCATAAGGTGCCTATGAAACAAAAATTAATTTCATGTTTATATTTAGGTCCTCTCTCCAAGACGTCTCTGTGTACAAAGATGCAAATACAGGTATTCTGAAATCCAAATCACTTCTGGTCCCAAGCATTTCGAATAAGGTATACTCAGCTTGCAGAAAGTCAACACTCCTCTTATCAAAGAGGCCTTAATATTGAAGCAGCTGCCATGAAGAAGCCTAACAGTCCAAAGATAAGAGTAACATCACATTGAAATACAAAAAACCACCCAGAAATCTATGTAACACAAGCATTTATTCTCTGTCTCTCTCAAGGTATGTCAATGAGCCCTGTGAATGTACATTTGGTTGTTACTCTCAGACTTCAGGGGTAGTAGCCATGTTGGTCTCTTGCCCAATAAACCCATGGAACCTTACAAGCTAAATTACCTCCTTTTATCAGTGAGAGTCCACATCAAAATCAGTAGGTGCTGCTCTAGATTACAGAATGTGCACACATACAAGTATGGGGTAGGCTTCAGAAAACTTTAGAAGACCACAAGATCCAAAAGCCTTTATCCCCCAACCCATACCCAATAGTCTACAACTAATTGATCTGGGTTTATTACCACAGAAGCAAATAAAGAGCAGGGGAGCTCTAAGAAAAAGACTCATGTTTGAGTGAGGTGTTGAAGACCAGAACGCTCCAACAGAATGTTGGGCGAGAACAACAATTTCACTTCAGTTTTTAAGCAAAGTTCTTTTCATCAGATAACACTGCATTTTGTTGTCCCACCAAGGAAGATTACCCATAAGAGTCTAATCTCAAAAAAAAAAAAAAAAGAATTAGCACAAAGCAGTAAGAACTGCACATCTGCATTATGGTTGCTTATCTTGAAAAGGCAGAATTCTGTTTTCTTCAGGTGACTTAGCAACTGCAGCCGAGAATACTTCCCCCCACCCATCAAATAATAAAAAAAGGCTCTGGACACTTTACATCTGTGCAAGAGAAGGGCGTGAAATTGTGGTTTTTGCATTCCCATGCTACGTGGATGGAAATGTCACCCCCAAATGACGCATTCCCCCATTCTGCTCAACACGGATACCATAGACATTCTCGTGGCACAGAACAAGACAGGATACAGAGCTACAAGGACAAGAATGCTGGGGTCACTGTGGGAATACCACATGCAATTCAGAAATGCAATTTGTATGCGCCCACCATACTCTTGTCACAGGTTAGAGAGATGTGTTGCTTTCCTGAAGAAGTGGTATTGTCTGTGCATTGCTCACCCTAGAAACAAGAATTTCAAGGATGGCACAGAATCTCCGCATTTGTCACCGCCACACTCCAATCTGCAGAGAACATTTGGAGTGCTTTTCTAAATGCATTTATATACAAGCTATACTTTTGTGCAAGCTGCAGCCCTATTACTGAATAATTAAGTCGTAGACAGATGTTGTCAGGTCTATCTGGACCCTTAGCACACAAAAAAAAACTGCAAGCAAAAACAGATATGGTACTGCTATAGGAATCCATAATGAAATGCATGAGGAGAGAGCAGCGAAGAAAGACATTAAGTTATGTCTCAAAGTTACTTGCATCTCCGTGACTAGTATTTAATGCATAGCAATGGAGTAGTGCATTGGATAAGAGTTTTGTCTGGGGTTATCACTAAATATTAGCTTTCCTGGCCAGTAGCTTGATGCACAGGGGCCCAAGATCATTCCAATTTAAACCTTGTGTAGGTATTAACTTGTAAGACAAAAGCTACCACTGGTGTTTATTTGCCCCAGATAGTATATTAACAGCCCACAATTCCCACCGAGGGATGTTTTAGCAAGTTTGGAGATGTGATGTGCCAGCTGCCCAGACACATCGCTACTAGATTCCCAATGCAAGTTCAAGACTAAAAAGCATATCGTGGACCCCTGTGAATATTGCCATGGACTCTGGGAACCAAGTACCACATTTAAGGATTAAATCAGTGACTGGCACACAAGACACCATGCTAGCAGAGGTCTCTCATAAAAGTATTGCCACTCGGTTTTTGCCAGTTAACCGTACTATGATGGGGCTCCATAGGGCCTTCTCTTGGTACAGTTATAACCAGCAAGTCAGGACCAATAAGAATTGCCCCCCAATTCAGGTTGTAGCATCCACATCCCAATTCACCCCCTGTGCCAAATTGCTTGCTCTCATTTTTCTCTTCCTTCTTTTTTTCAAAAAGAGAATTCAGTACTTTTTATGAGATTAGACCATTCCATACTATTAAACATGAAGTGCGTCAGGACAAAATCAACTCACCATCTGTTTTAAGACAAGAATGCAGGAAAAAAAGTACAGAGTCAGTGACAGTGAAACTGATTTATATTTTTACAAAGCATCGACCTATAAGGGGCATTTTGTATGCTAAAGCACCTCAAAGTCAAGCAAGCCACAGAAGAAGCTTATTTATCAGCATTTTGACTTACACAGTACAGCCTGTTTCTAAAATAAACCCAATTGTTATGCTCAAAAGCTGGAAAATCACTGCGGCTGAACACTTGGCTAGAAAAAGTGCTCTAATTTGGAATTGGTGGTGCCTAAGAATTTTCCTCTGCCCTAAAAATACCAGTTTTGCAGTGGTGTATAATACTAAGATTAATTTTGAAATAGTTTGTTCTGACAAGCCCTCTATTAAAACATACCACCGGTAAACCACTTCCTTCCCAATACCACTTAATTCTATAATTTTCCACTATCCCCAGCCTCCTAACTCAAACTTACTGTTTGGGTTTTACGCAATTAATTGCAATCCAATTCAAAACAGAACCAAGCCAGGACAACTGCCCAACTGCACCATTCCAGGTGAATCCAAGGAAGCCGAACTTACCTTTCAGAGCAATCACTTTCGAAGCAGGGTTCATGATGGCACTTTCGGCAGAGATTGGGCGCCTGATAGGAGTTGTCGGGTCACTCATGTCTATGATCACAACTTGTGCTTGCTCACCCACTTTCTCTCTGATACATATGAATTTGTCAGACTCCATCGTTAAGGTACTGAACCCAATGTTTGCTGGATTAATTCCAAGATTTTGGAGCTAAGACGTGGGGGGGGAGAAATCAACAGTTAGTTTGACTGTTACTTCACCACAAGTAAAGAGACTTTCCTAACTAATCAGTGAGAAGCAATTTCAATTACAAATTATTCCTGCAACTTTTTGTTAGATGACACACTAGCTCCTTCAACTTGGTTTTAGAGAAAGCAGCTAATTTTTTTTAAAAAAAATAAAGGTATGAAATATGATTGCAAAGAAAAGAAATAGAAAAGACTGAAGAAATAAAAAAGGGAAGCATTGTACATCTGTGATATAAGTTGTCCATAGTTCTAATTTTTTTGTGTGTGAGTGTCAGGAGCAACTTGAGAAATTGCAAGTCGCTTCTGATGTGAGAGAACTGGCCGTCTGCAAGGACGTTGCCCAGGAGATGCCTGGATTTTTAACCATCCTGTGGGAGGCTTCTCTCATGTCCCCACATGAGAAGCTAGAGCTAACAGAAGGGAACTCACAGGGGTTCCCTGGATTCAAACTGCCAAGATTTCGGTCAGCAGTCCTACCAGCACAAGGATTTAACCCACTGTGCCAACGGGGGCTCCTTCTTAAAAATATGATAGAAGCTAACTTCAATAAAATATGTACTGATGCATAGCTAAAGCAGTAACATATATTCTGACAACTGAAAGATGGATGATGACAGTTAATCTTTTGGACCTTGGAAAATCAATCTCATTGCAATAATAAAAGCATACAGGATTCTAAAAAAGTGATTCTTGGCTAAATACCACCAGAATGTAATTTAAAAGAACGTGCATCCGTACAGGTCAGGTATATTTGTAATACAAAATGAAAATGTTGTAATACATCCAGCCAAAGTGAACACATTGTAACACATTCAACCAAAGTGAACATACTGTGACACATCCAACCAAAAGGAACACGTTGTAACACATTCCACCAAAAGGTAGTAACAATGAACATCTGTGCCACAAGGAAGCATAATTTGAATTACATCACCAACATTTAGTTAAAATACATTGCTTCTTCTTTAAAAAGGCACAGTGGTGTCCAATGCACTCAACTATTTCCCTGGACTAAACAGATTTAGATCTAAAGAAGTTTTAGATACTGATGCTTGGTTGGTTTTCAACTGGTTAATTTGCAAAGGACAACCTGACTCCCTTTCGTCTAAGCTTTCGTAGACTCACTCTACTTCATCAGAAGCATGAAGCAGAAGCTTGGAAAATAGAAAAAGGCAAAACATTTTCTCCACAAAGAAGGTCTCCCAATCATCAAATCAGGATCTTTTCATAGGGTTATTTAAACGTAATCATATAGATCGAACTGCATTTTAAAAGGCATTATACACAAAGCGGCACTGGCAACAAAGACTGCAGGAAGCCCTATGCCTTTCTTTCTCTCATTATAAACAATCCATCTGTGAATTATGGATCAAACGTTCCTGCAAACATATCCAACACACTATATTTTTAATCAATTTGCTTATGGGCTGGATGCATAAATAGTAATTAATGACCATCTCAGTCAATAAACAAGATCTACTCAATTCCTATCTTGCTGAACTTTTCTGGTAAAAGGTGGCACATGCAGCTACTAGAATATCCAGCATATCAATCTTTCTATTACATGCTATCTGTTTCCACTAACTGTTTGTTTGCTTGCTTGTTTAATATATACCATGCTAAATGGATATAGCTTTCTGCTAAAAGGACTCTATTTTTTAAATGTTCTATTGGATATCACCTTTCAAGTTTCCTTTAAGCATTAGCAATCCAGTTCTGTATTTCAATTTTCTTCCTGGAAAACCTGTCCTTTGCCAATCCAAACACTGTTCTCAACGGCACATTCCTAAGCAATTGAGTTAACTGTCCCAACATTTATTTCAGGATTTACTTTGCTGCATTCTCGATCACAAATGGCAACAACAGTTATTCTGCATTAATGGAAGACTAAACGAAGTCTGTCTTCACAGCATGAAAAGTTGAATGCTGCTGCCCATCTTCCTTTAAAGTCAATGAAGCAGCCTGGAAGGGTGGAGGAAGTTTCTTTCTTTAATTACTGATAGAAATCCCAATATATATGTCTTAAGGTAGCCTTAAAAGGAACAATAAACTCCAGGACATCTCATGAATGCAATTACTTTCTGAAAATGATTGAGTGAATGCAGAATTATTCAGCAGACATATATTAAAAGTAAGCGAATCCAACTATTCAAAGGGATTCAAGTTGTAGTATTTGAAAGCTGCTATATTTATCAATTTTTGCAAGTTTCTCTAACACACTGTATGAAAGTGGGGACAAGGGACTTTAGGCTTCCAAAGGTTTGCCTTTAGTTTGCAATCTAAAACACTAGATGTTTTTATACTGGGTGTTCTCAATATAATGGGAGAGGGAAAGGGAGGTAAGAAAAGAAAAGCCTTGCAAGTTGTACAGTATTACTTAAAAAGCAAGCAAGATGAAGTTACCATTTGCCATATTTCTGCACCATTCAGTTATGGCAATGTTCCATTCAAACATCAATAGGCTCTGTTCACTGCAGTTACAGACTGTTCTCAAGAGACATGGATGGAAATGCTTTGTGAGAGGCATAAAAATAGCTGCTTAAAGGAATGCTATAACCCCTCTTCTTCTATTCAGAAGACCAGTGTTTTGCCTTGGACTGAGCATGGAAAAAATTCAAGACATTTTGGATTAGGAATTTATAGAATTCCCCTTGTAAAAAATGACAGCAAAATTGAAATGCTGTTATCAGTGTCCCTTCCAGTTTATGAGGCACAGTTTTAGATAATTTTGAAATCTAACCACAGAACATCCCATGGTTCTTGATCAGACTGAATGAAGGCAACAGGTGAAAAAAGAAACTCATAGTGGGCTCTGGCTTTCCAGATCCACAAATATAAAGAGCTAAAAGAATCTGGGATGCTTTCTTCAGTAGCAGAACTAAAATGCTTACTACAGTTGCCAAAACCACAAGTAGAAAAGATCTGTAAGTTGTTTTCCTGAGGGTGAAAAATGGGAAACTGGCAATATGCCGGGTTGGTCACTTTATGACTCCCATACTTAAAGAAGTTTTCCCGTAGTCAGACCAGCTCCCTTACATCAATACTCTACTTCCTGACAAACACCGCAAAAGGTCGAGTAACATCCCCAGAAGAAACTAGAAAAAGACCAATTACTATGAATTCCTTCAACAGAGCTGTAAATGTTTTCACATTTCTCACATTTCTTTAACTTGACCATATCCTGCTTGCTTGCTGGTTTTTGCTTTTGAAGCCTCAGTCATTAACCTTTTGCCTAAGGTTTTCCACAACTGAATGCAGCACACAAGCAATCAAAGGGTATGGCAGAGCTTTCCCAGCAAGCAATAAATTGCGGGAAGAGAATGTCTCTGACTAGCAAACTGCTATGCCCCACTCAAGTCTGCTTTGCCCAATCCCTTCTGTTTCAGGTGCAACTCTGATTAGTAATAAGAGTAGCAGGAATAAAGCAAACCACAGTCTGCCCAAAGCACACTTTTAGCAGATAGGATATTTTTACATCTACACCAAAACAAAATTCTGGTTCTCATCCAACACTAAAACAATTGTAGCACTATGAGGATACGCCTGAACTAGCCCCAGTTTGGAATTAGGTCTACATATTTGGCTCTTGCGTCAGTACTCTGGGAGAACTTCAGTAGAGTTTCATTTCATTTTAAGAATCCCAGATGTAAGGCTCCTTTAAAATACATGCTTACCCTATATACGCATGCATGTCTTGAATTTTTTGTCAAAAAATCAACCTCAAAAAACCTAGTTCAATTTATCCATGGGTAAATATGAGTGCTGTATGCCAATCAAAAAAGGAACCATCTTTTCTCTGGGTAGTGACAAAAAGTGAAAATATTGGGAGAAGCTTTAAAAATGCATCAATGTCTCTACTCTCTCAATCATGGTACTGCTTCTAACCTTTTTGAATGTCTGGATGAGCAGCATTTGTGCTTTCCCATATCCATGGAATAAATCTCAATTTATCCATGGATTATATCAAAATACAATTTTTTTGGCACCAACATCTATCCTCAACTTACATATCAGGGCAATTTAACCATGACTATATACTATAATTCAGGAGGCCAGTTTTCACATGCCACAGTTTGAAGCTGGCTAACTTAGAAACCAACCAGTGTTTGTTTTTAACAAAAGATCCTCATATTTCTGAAAACTGAAACAAGACTCTGTCAAATCTCTCCTACTTTTTAAAAGGGTGTGTGCAAACCTGATTCTTCGCTTGGGTATGGTCACACAACAAGAAGCCATGTGTCAATTTTACATGCTAACACAATCTAAGGGAAGGTTGTGCAAACTATTACTGAGCTAGTATTTCAAGATTTTTCCCAAAGGTTTTAAGCTGAACTTCAACTAGCTCCTTCTTCCCACATAATTAGCTGGAAGAAAATGGACGTGCCAGTTTCACATTCTCAGCACTGTTTCTTGAACTTTCGGCATGACTGCATTCTCTGAAGGCATTATTCTCTCAATGAGAGGTTTCTTACAAATAATGATTTGGAATCTACTCATCTGGAAGTAGGTGTGTTTTGAAAAGAAAAGACTTGACAGACTTAAATGTCTAAAATGCTTTTTGACAGGATTCTTGTGTTAAGAAAATACATGTGTGTGGTCTTCAAACCATTAAAACAACAAAATCTTACAGGCAGGGAACCTAAACATAAAGACTCAAGCGAATCTAGTGGATGCCAATGGACAGCCAAGTTACTATTCATGCCACTCTTAAAAAACAAATCCAAAATCACAGTTGCTATCGTTTAACCAGGCAACCAGATTTTTTTCAATTTGATTTTCAGTGAGGCTTAGCTTCTCAACAGCTTTCAAAAAGATCAGCAGAATGAAACCCATTGATTCCAAATCCCACTGCTTCCAAATCGAAGAGCTTTGAAACTTCATTTTTGGAGTACGGCTCCTCAAATCCCCCAGTCAGCATGGTCACTGGCTGACTCTGCAAGCTGGATACTGAAAAACTTGAATTATTCAAGCTCCCTAGTCACCTAACCTTTTATAAACATTCTTCACTCATCTCTCTTTTACTGATTCACGTTAATGTTATATCCACAAAAATTTACTCTGAATCAGTTGTGAGCTGTTATCAACAAACAATTACAAACTTGGCTTCTCTCAAAGAACAAACTAGACACATAAACTTAAGTCCTTCATAAAAGATCCAAGATTTAGCCTCCAGACAAACAGTTATAGCATCTCTAGGACAGAATGGTTTATTACATCAGTTGCTGCAATTAAACCTGGATCAGTTTAGCTTCAGAGCATCGTGTGAGAAATCGCCCAGGACAATAACTAGCATTATACCATTAATTTTCAGTACGCTGTTTCAAAAGATAGGCTCAGTAGCCAAAATCCTGTTTGCTGGCAAAACTATGTCAGTGGAAGAAGAGGTGTCACTGGAAGATGCACGCAGTACAATAATGAGATGGGAATGGACCGCAGCAAAAGCTCTCCCTTTTAAGAGATAAATCTAGATAGTTCTGGAATAGGCTGGCCAGTTTTATATCCCAATGGGGTTGACTTTTACTGCCATTCTCCCACTGCCTTTCAGCCGTGGTCAAAATAGTGATTCATCTGGCATGAATGACCCATATGCCTGCATATGTTGCCAACAGGATCCCAGCCAGTGCTTCTACCCTGCAGAAGACAAAAATATACTTACTTTGAGATACTTTACTGATGCATACATTTGTCAGTCTCCCACCCTCGAAAGATGTAATCCTCTAAAGTTTAAGTCCAGCTAGTGGACCACACAGCAAACAGACTATATATTATTCGATGTTAACAGAATATATATTACATATTTTAATAGGATTGAAAATGTTTTAAAGGGATTTGAAGCAATGAGCAAATACATTTTTCCACTACATTTTGGAAAATGTAAATATAAACACCCTTGACAGAATGAAAGTTACTTTGTGACTTCAGCAACATAAAATGCAGTATGTATAACTTGGCTTGACATATGCATCATTTCTGATATACTAAGGGTTCACATTTGTTCAGGAAATAATTACAAATTTAATTGACTTTTTAAATCATTACTGCTACAAATTGAGCTACATGTTCTTGAAATGGTAAGGAACATCTGAACCTCATTGTTTTTAACAACTTATTTGGGGGGGGGGTATAATTTAAAACAAACAATAAAACAATCAACACCATGAAACAAAGGATATTTTCATGTCCTTTACAGTCTTCCATAGTGCCAAACTGACAGAAAGAACTCACTCCAATTAAAAGAACTAAAAAGAGGAAAACAAGACCAAGAACTGCAATGATGTGAGATACTGTACATAATCATAGAAAAATGTCTTCCTGCTATGTCTTAAAATTTTGATTCATTCTGTCACAATACTTTTCCCTCCATTTTTTCTAGAAATAGTTGCTGGCGGGGGGGGGGGGGGGGAAGAAAAAACATTTCCCTTTGACTTTTTCCAATTTATTTCCAGGCCTTCACATCTCTACCTGCAATGCAGTCCCTACACAATGTCAATACAGTGTCCAGTTTCTTTAGAGTGGCGAAAATCAGTCTTTAATGCATCAACATTCATATTGAGAATGACTACATTTCTGTAGTTTACATTTTTCTGCTTATAGCAGTGAAGCCACTGGAGGCGTGGGATGAAAGCTTAGTGTGATTTGTATTTTGTGCTCAACAATCAACTAGAAAGTCTAACAAAAGGCTGGGCAAAATATGGACCTCCAGCTGTTTGCTGGACAGCAACTCCCAACAACCCTAGCTAGCGCAGCCGACAATGAGGGATTCTGGGGATTGAAGTTTAGCCATTTCTGGAGCGGTACGTTTTGCCCATCCCAGTCTAACAGAACTGAATGGCATCATTTGTTACTGGCTAATGCATCTACAGAATCCCAAGTTAGCCAGGCTACAGACATGGCATGTTATAGTTACAATCCTATGCACTCATTTTCCTGGGAGTATGCCATCCCAAACATGATGGAACTTACTTATGAGTAAAAACACAGAGGATTATGCGATATGGTGTAACTAATGCCTTCTCAGCTGTAAGCTTATTCCCTACACATGTAATCACATTTTGATAACAGAAGTGCTGCAGCTGAGTGACAACAACTGTCTCTCAGCTACAACACAAAAGCTTTCCTCGCCTTAATGTCCTTCAGCTGTTTTGAAACTCCCACCCTTCAGCTGTTTTAAACTCCCACCCTTCCTCCCCACGGGCTATGTTGAAGCTGATGGGAACTGTAGTCCAAACCATCCACAAGGCACTGGTGAAGCCTGCTCCAGCTATCCAATGTAAAACACCAATGCTTTTTGTCCTTAATGTGCCCAGGACTAGCACCGTATTTTTGTCTATTGGCTGAAACCGTTTTTGTTTTTTTCTGTAAAACCGCTGTATTCTGGTAGCCAATAGTTAGTAAATAAGCTTCGGTCCACAAATAGCCCTGTTCTATAGGACCGAGTCTGTAATAAAATGGCATCCCTGTGAGTTGAGGAAGCACAAAGCACTTAGACCAGCTCGTAATCTTATTAGGGCTAGGGAAAGATGTTGAAACAATACATTAGACAGGGATGTAACATTGAAGACAGCAACCAAAAAAAGGTCTGATCACAATTGGAAATTGATGCCTCTGATCTAACAGAAGAAGGGACAGACAAGAGCGTTCACCAAGTCCACTTCCTGTGCTCTCATTCATTTGTGGAATTCCTTTAATTCCTGCCACAAATTGCTTTTTCTCAGCAAAAGGTTTTCCCTGACTCAGTACAGCCACATCTCCCCCTTGCTCCCCCAATTCCATTATTCTCCTTGTAGACAATTAGCAATCCCTCCCTCATCATCTGAGACTAGGATAATGCAGTCCATCCTCCCCACGGATCTATGCTGGTGTTTGAATACCACTAGAGAGGGTTGCAGCAAGGAAAAGAAACCCGTAAAGATTGCAGTGCTGCTCTCCAGAACAAGAAAATTGCCCACTCAACACCCAATCTTTCCCAACCTTGCAGGTCCTTCCGTGAGATGGAAAGATCCCCCCTTCAACACCAAGCTGCCACCCCACTCCCAAAATGGAGTTTAGGGAGACAGTGGACAATGAAAACAGGACCCAGGCCACTGTGATCTGTTGCTCCCATCGTTCGAATGTGGCCACATCCTTTTTTTGCTGCACCTCGTATTCCTTAGGGCGAAGTAATAATGCAGGCAAAGAGCTCAGAGCCTCCACTCCACATACCAACAGACAAGGAGCAGAGTCTGTCATTCAGGCAGCCAGTGACTCTGCACAAATACTCGCAAAAGGCTGCAATGGGGGGGGGGGGGCACCCAACACCAACTTCTCCATCCTGTTCTCAGATCAGGTGCAGCAAGTACACTTTCGGGTACCCAAATCACTTGGATGATTGGCACAGTTCCTGGTGTCCTTTCCAGCATGATTTAGATGAATAAAAAGACCCCATAGTACTCTTCTACTGAATGAAAAGCCAGGGCTGGTTTTGCACTATTCTCCTAGAAGGGTTTCAAGAGGAATTGCCTATACATTTCCTGCACTCTGAAAAAGTATACCCCCACCCCATTATGGCCAACCCACTAGAGAGGTTTCTGCACCTACAGATTGAATCTTCCATGGCTTGAAAATATAGGGGGGGGGGGATCCCCAAAGGCTTGGTTTTGCCATTCGATCAAAGAGATGCCGTTTGCCATTGTATGCAATGAGATTTGATCATCCACAGATCTGGCTATCCACGGGAGTCCTGGAACCAATGGATAAGGAGGGCCCGCCAGATTCATACTTTGATAGAACCATCCCAGCCCAATCTCTGCTCAATGGAAAGCCAGCGTTTGGGTTTGGCATGCTCTTCCTACATAAGGGATGTACACTTCTTTGAAAAAGAAGTGTACATCTATACATGCCTATACAACTCTGGAAAAAGGATATGCCGCATTCACGCAAAAAACTGGGGAGGGGGGGGCGACTAGGAGGGAAGGGTAATCCCAGTTTCCCCACGAAACCTCTCCCCATGCTTCCTCACAGGACAAAAATAAATAATATTAGTAATCTATATGTACGACTATTAATAAATATATAATATTAGTACTAATATTAGTTATTGTTACTATCCCAGGGGCCCCCTCAAGGCCCCCAAAGTAAAAAACAAACAAAAAATATAAATATTAATATTAAAAATGTATGATATGAGTATGACTATTAATAAATATATATTATTACTAATTTTAGTAATTATTATTTTCCCAGGAGGCCTCTCAACATCCCTAAACTCAAAACTCCCCAAAATAAATGTTAACACTAATAATATATATGAATATGACTATTAAAAATATTAGTACAATATTAGTTGTTGTTATTATTATTATTATTATCACAGGAGGCTGGGCCTCTCAACACCCCAAAGTCAAATCCCCCAAAATAAATACTAATAATATATATGAGTATGGCTATTAATAAATATATAATATTAGTACTAATATTAGTAATTATTATCCCAGGAGGCTGAGCCCCTCAAGACCCCCAAAGCCAACCCCCTCCCAAAAAAAGCCCCTAGGCCTTGCCCCCTTCTGCCCTGCCTTCAGCTGTTGAGAGGGGCCTCTCTCTCTCTCTCTCTCTCTCTCTCTCTCTCTCTCTCTCAGCCAGGCCTCTTTCCTCTCCCCTCCCCTCAGAAAGACCCCCCTTGGCTCACCTGAAAGTGCTCCTGAAACCGTATGGGGAGGATTTGAGCCATGGCTGGCGGGAGAGAGGCCCAAGAGGGCGCCCCAGGAAGCGGGGGGCTCTCTCCTCAAAAGGGGAGACGGAGCGCCGCGGCTTGGCCCCTCAGCGAGGCGCGCAAGGACAGAGAGAGGAAGCTGGGGAAGGGGAGGCCGGCGGCTCCCAAAGACGCGAGTACGCAGGCGCAGAGCCAGCAAGCCAGCCGCCCCTCTCGCCGCCGTCTTCAGAGGGCTCGCGCTCCCTCAGCGCCGGCGCCCTTTTTCCTCTCGCGCTTCGCCCAGGTCTCATCACTCCCAATCTAGAGATCGCTCCGCTCCGCCCTCGCGCCTGGCTTTGAAAACAGTTCCGAACGCCGCGCAAGCATCTGAGTCGTACAAATAGTCCCGCCCAGTATATAAGTCTGCGCTCGAGCTTTTTTCCCTCAAATGGAACTTGGTTCTCGAGAAATATTTCCTTATCAGAAACAAGCTATGCCAGACTAAGCTGATCTCTTTTTTTATATATAAGAGTTACAAGCTGGGAAGATGCAGAGAACGCAGTGGGTATCTGGATTTCAAGAAGGCCTTCCTTCGACAAGGTCCCCCGCGACTTTCTAGCAAACTAGTCAAATGTGGGCTAGGAAATGGGCCTTTTCCACACAGCTGAACAAAATCCCACATTGCCTGCTTTGAACTGGGATGTACGACAGTGTGGACTCAACCCAGTTCAAAGCAAATATTGTGGATTATCTGCCTTGACATTCTGAGTTATATGGCTGTGTGGAAGGGACCCTGGAAAGAAATGGCCAGTGGAATGTCATAAGCAGGGTTCTGTCCTAGGCCTGGTTCTGTTTAACATCCTTATTAATGACTTAGATGAAGAGTTTGAAGGCATGGTCATGTTTGCAGACGACACCACATTGGGAGGAAGAGCCACTACTCCATAAAAAGGGAGTAGATTAGAGAGATGATTACCAAAACTAACAAAATGAAGTTCAATGGACAAATGCAAGACACTCCACTTAGGCAGAAAACATTAAATGCAAAGATACAGAATGGGGGACCTTGGGACGTTCCTTGTTGTTCATTCGTTCAGTCGTCTCCGACTCTTCATGACCTCATGGACCAGCCCACGCCAGAGCTCCCTGTCGGCCGTTACCACCCCCAGCTCCTTCAAGGTCAGTCCAGTCACTTCAAGGATGCCATCCATCCATCTTGCCCTTGGTCGGCCCCTCTTCCTTTTGCCTTCCACTTTCCCCAGCATAATTGTCTTCTCTAGGCTTTCCTGTCTCCTCATGATGTGGCCAAAGGACTTCAACTTTGTCTCTAGTATCCTTCCCTCCAATGAGCAGTCGGGCTTTATTTCCTGGAGGATGGACTGGTTGGATCTTCTCGCAGTCCAACACTCTCAGCACTTTCCTCCAACACCACAGCTCAAAAGCATCGATCTTCCTTCGCTCAGCCTTCCCTAAGGTCCAGCTCTCACATCCGTAGGTACTACAGGGAATACCATGGCTTTGACTAGGCGGATCTTTGTTGCCAGTCTGATGTCTCTACTCTTTACTATTTTATCGAGATTGGACATTGCTCTCCTCCCAAGAAGTAGCCGTCTTCTGATTTCCTGGCCACAGTCTGCATCTGCAGCAATCTTTGCACCTAGAAATACAAAGTCTGTCACGGCCTCCACGGTTTCTCCCTCTATTTTCCAGTTGTCAATCATTCTTGTTGCCATAATCTTGGTTTTTTTGACGTTTAGCTGCAACCCGGCTTTTGCACTTTCTTCTCTCACTTTGATTAGAAGGCATGAGAAATAAGGGCCACTGTACGGAAGTTGGAGCAGTCTTTCGCATTTCCCTTTTTTGGTATGGGGATATAAGTTGATTTTTTCCAGTCTGATGGCCATTCTTGTGTTTTCCATATTTGCTGGCAATGGCATGCATCACCTTGACAGCATCATCTTTTAAGTTTTTAAACAGTTCAGCTGGGATCCCGTCGTCTCCTGCTGCCTTGTTGTTAGCAATGCTTCTTAAGGCCCATTCAACCTCACTCCTCAGGATGTCTGGTTCTAATTCATTCACCACACCGTCAAAACTATCCTCGATATTATTATCCTTCCTATACAGATCTTCTGTATAGTCTCGCCACCTTCTCTTGATCTCTTCAGCTTCTGTTAGGTCCCTGCCATCTTTGTTTCTTATCATACCAATTTTTGCCTGAAATTTACCTCCAATGTTTCTAATTTTCTGGAAGAGGTCTCTTGTCCTTCCTATTCTGTTGTCTTCTTCCACTTCCATGCATTGCTTATTTAAAAATAGTTCCTTATCTCTTCTGGCTAACCTCTGGAATTGCGCATTTAACTGGGCATATCTCCCCTTATCACTGTTTCCTTTTGCTTTCCTCCTTTCTTGGGCTACTTCCAGTGTCTCAGCAGACAACCATTTTGCCTTCTTGGTTTTCTTTTTCTTTGGAACGTACTTTGTTGTCGTCTCCTGAACAATGTCGGACTTCTGTCCATAGTTCCTCTGGGACTCTGTTTACTAAATCTAGTCCTTCAAATCTGTTCTTCACTTCCACTGTATATTCGCTAGGAATGTTAGTGAGATCATATCTAACTGGTCTGTGTATTTTCCCTGATCTCTTTAGTTTTATTCTAAATTGGGCAATAAGAAGTTCGTGATCTGAGCTACAGTCAGCCCCAGGTCTTGTTTTCACCGACTGGATGGATGTCCGCCACCTTTGGCTGCAAAGGATGTAGTCAATCTGATTTCGGTGTTGATCATCTGGTGAGGTCCATGTATAAAGCCGTCTTTTAGGTTGTTGGAAGAGAGTGTTTGTTATACACAGCGAGTTTTCCTGGCAAAATTCTATCAGCCTGCGTCCCGCTTCATTTTGTTCTCCCAGACCATGCTTGCCTGTGATCCCTGTTGTCATTTGACTTCCCACCTTGGCATTCCAGTCTCCTGTAATGAAAATAATGTCTCTTTTTGGTGTATTATCCAGTAGGTCCTGCAGATCCTCATAGAACTGATCTACTTCTGCTTCTTCAGCAGCTGTGGTTTGGGGCATATATTTGGATCACTGTAATGTTGAAAGGCTTTCCTTGCACTCGAATTGAGATCATTCTGTCATTTTTTGGGTTGTATCCAAGCACGCTTTAGCGAATTTCTTATTAATTATGAAGGCTACTCCATTTCTTCGATGTTCCTCTTGTCCGCAGTAGTAGATCTGGTGGTCATCTGATGTGACGTGGCCCATTCCAGTCCATTTCAGTTCGCTGACCCCCAGAATGTCTATCTTTAGTCTTGACATCTCACCAATAACAACATCCAATTTGCCCTAGCTCATAGATCTTACATTCCAGGTCCTATGGTGTGTTGATCTTTAGAGCATCGGATTCGTCGTTCACCTCCAGTACCGTCGGCCGCTAGCCTTCCTTTCGGCTTTGAGCTAGCTGCGTCATCACATCTGGGGCTAGTTGAACTTATCCTCTGCTCCTCCCCAGTAGCATTTTGGCCATCTTCCGACCTGGGAGTCCCATCTTCCAATTGCATACCGACATATCTCTGGTTGTACTGGTCCATTTAGTTTTCTTGGCAAGGATACTGGAGTGGTTTGCCATTGCCTTCCCCAGGGATCATGCTTGGTCTGACCTCTCTGCCACAACCGTCCCGTCTTGGGTGGCCCTTCACGGTTTCGCTCATGACATCATTGAGGTGCTCAAGCTCCAGCGCCCCGACAAGGCGGTGATCCTTTGCTGGCTTGACAGCAGTACATGTGAAAAAGGTATTGGGAGTCCTCGAGGACAGGAAGGTGAACATGAGCCAACAATGTCATGTGGCAGCTAAAAAAGCTAATGGGATTTTGGCCTGTATCAATAGGAGTATAGTGTTTAGATCTAGGGAAGTCATGCTCCCCCTCTATTCTGCCTTGGTCAGATCACATCTGGAATCACACTGTGTCCCATTCTGGGCACTGCAATTGAAGGGATAAGTTTACTCTAAGCTGGAATGTGTCCAGAGGAGAGTGACTAAAAGGATCAAGGGTCTGGACAACAAGCCCTATGAGGAGCAGTTTAAACTGGGCATGTTTAGCCTGGAGAAGAGACAGCTGAGAGGAGAACATGAGGGCCATAAATAAAGATGTGAGGGGAAGTCATGGGGAGGAGGGAGCAGGCTTGTTTTCTGCTGCCCTGGAGACTAGGATGTGGAACAATGGCTTCAAACTACAGAAAAGAAAGGAGGTTCCACCTAAACATGAGGAAGAACTTCCTCACTGTGTGAGAGAGAGAGCTGTTCAGCAGTGGAACACTCTGCCCCAGAATGTGGTGGAGGCTTTGAAACAGAGGCTGGGTGGCCATCTGTCAGGGGTGCTTTGAATGTGATTTTCCTGCTCATTGGCAGAATGGGGTTGGACTGCATGGCCCACAAGGTCTCTTCCAACTCCATGATTCTATGAAAGTGAGAATGGTTTAGTTAATTGAAGGCTTTGTGGGGAGTCAAGGAGAACAAAAAAGGGCAAGAAATTAGATAGAACAAAAAATTGGAAAAGGAAAAACAAGAGACAATTTAACTTATTTTTATTGTGTCTCAAACAAATTAAGAATACGGTTATAATGTATAAACAACTACAAATGAAGTTTAAAAACTTGGCATGATACTAAATTTCATTTCACCAGAAGCTGTAAGGAAGTCCTCTGTTGTGCATGTGGCAGGGCTCAGGCCGCATTGTAGTAAGTGGTCTGTGGTTTCATCTTCTCCACACTTGCATGTCGCAGACTCCACTTTGTAGCCCCATTTCTTAAGGTTGACTCGGTATCTCGTGGTGCCAGAGCGCAGTCTGTTCTGTGATTAAATGTACATGCTATCTAACATGGGAAGGGTCCTTCTTCTTGTTAATCACTTTGCAAATTGGCCAAGACTTAACTCTTATTATATCATTCCAGTCTGGTGTCCTTGGCAAAATTATAAGTTCCCTGATTATAAACTATTTGGGGGGGGGGGTCACCCTTGACTACAAGCACACACAGACATATTGTTAAACTCTAGTTCTGCTGCCCCTACAGAGTTAATATCCTCATGTAGATCAAGCATTGCACATGGGTGTTGAGGAAAAGGCATGTAAACAGTGAGGTCAGAGGGAAACAAAATGCAAAAAATATATGATGTAAAGGCTTCAATTGATATTGTGAAATATGCCCAGATGTTTCTTTAAAATGTTTAAAAGGTGATAACACAAATATCCTGGCATTTGACTTATGGCAACCTTGCTAGGGTTTTCTTGGGCAAGGAATCCTCAGAGACGGTTTTGCCAGGTCC